AGTGACAGAAAATTTACACTCACCACAGGCCGTAATGCATTGATACTCACACCCAACTCAATCTGTCAAATACCTACCGGTCAAGCCGAAAAAGAGTAGCCTATCGACATCTCTGATCATAATGATACATTGTTGCTTTTTTTGAATGAATTGATGTTTGATGCGTATATTTTGAGTTGCTCGTCGAAATCGTTCATTTGATCCCTGAAATGGTTCTCTACATCGGTAAAACCTAACAATTCCGATTCATTCACAAATACTGCATTTATCAAGTCTACATTCTTATCAGAAACAGCTCACATCATCATCACTGTAAGAAAGTAGTTTGAACTGATTCTTTAATTTTTTTTGAAACATTCTCGTCAAGCAAGAACTTCTTACGATCCAGAAACTATCTTGACGGTGATGGTTCTATCTTCAATCATCGTCAAGAACTGCCAAAACTAATTACATTCATCCCTATTCATTTTCCCTTTTATTGATTTTTAATTCTGAAAGATTTTCTTGTTGACCAGGATCTGATCATCATAGAATATAATATTTTTCGTTTTTATAAGCCATCTTTTCATTGGTTCGATGATCATCGAAGACGAATTCTATTTAATGGCTACATTATACACTACACTCGTTGAACTATGAATCAATTTCAAACAACAAAACAACTTCATTTTTCTATTCCCTCTGCTTAAAATTTGTCATAAGGTTTCGTATCCTACTCAACTTATACTGATAAACAGCTAATCTGTTTGAACAATTGTTATGAGAACATGATCTTGGTCGATAGTGACCGACTAAAGTTATTTGTTTTTGATATGAAAATGATGGAAACACAAATTCAATAACAAAAAATAAAATGTGGTCTTGCACAAAAAAACTTAATGGCTCATCAATTAAGTTTGAGAAGATGTTGCTGATTATTTTCTTATGGTGAACTATTACATGAAGATCCGCTCGACGAAGTCTTTGAACGGCGAACGCAGGTGGTTGGCAACACGACGCAGAATTCGTGCCCATCCAAAAGAGGTCCGAGAACTCACTTGTAACGAATTTCGCATGGTCAGCAATAAATTTCACGTCGATCGGAATGCAGTTGCAAGCGTTTCAAAGGGCGATCACTGCGTGTGGATGTGAAGAAGCGAGTCCAACGATGACAGTATCTTCAATGCTATTCTTAGCCATTGAAATCAGGATTCCGGCAGCACCTTGACCTCGGTAATAAGAGCTAACAACCAATTGGTTAATCCAAACGGCATTGCCATTTAATCGACCGTATTTAGCCGATGTGCAGAAGGTGTATCCGATTAGTTCATATTGAACAATATTGAGCATTTTTCAAGTATCCGATCCATCACAAGCGAATATCGAATACACGTGTAAGATATCGGAGTAATAAACGCCACTTCTATATCTGAAACAAAGGCAAAAATAAGCAAACTTCTTTGTTTCTCTCAAGCATTCGGATACTTCAGTATCCAAAGTAAATGATTCATCATTCTTCTGTTTACTTGTGTGAACTTTTCTTTTTTTCCGGTAGACCAATCAGAATGGACCTGTTGTTTCTAATCAGTCACACTTCTTTCAAGAGTACATACAGCCGACAACGATCATCCAAGTAATTACATAAACCTGAAAAAATAGCCGTGTTTTGTTTTCATACTCAATGATCATTTTCAAATAAAAACATGAACCAAAATAATTTCACATGTTACTGTGCCGACGGCTACCATCGATAGTGGTCGCGGTCGCGAGTTGCCGATCAATCGATATTCGTCGATTCTTAGCATATCGTTTCTTCTTTCCAACAGTCGCGCATTTGTTTTACATTGCTACCGAACGATATTGTTAACTTTTGATTTTCTGCATTAAAATTCAAAGTTTTAAATTGTACTTAGGATTAATAATTGATTAAAGTAGCACATAGTATATTTTAAAACATCGAGATCTAAGAGCTTTCGATGTTTGCAAGTATATATTTTATTTAAATTCTCGAAAGCCAACACTATTTTGATAAACACATGCTATCTGAAGGATCTGTATAAATGTGAATAAAAAGAAAGAACCCACTATGTATTCATCGAATGCTCTGCTGCAAGAATATCAAATTAGCAGACTCTCAAATTCGTCAGTTCATCATTTTTTTAACGATGTTTACAAACATCGTTAAAAAATATTAATTCTATTTTGGAGTTCCACTCGGCATGGAACCCTTTCAAGTATTGGCTCTGTTGACAATGATTTGATGGGAACAGACTCTTTGACAAATAAATGGCCAGAGTGCTTCATTTCCTGAATCATAAACCAATGTTCCCAAAAGTTCTGCTCATACTTAATTGACTTGATCGAAAGAAGTATTTCAGTTAGACAATAAACTGGCGTTCTATCTTCATAAATGTTCTTCAGTTCGTATTGATAAAAATAAAAAGATTTTCACTGAACTTCATATAAATATCAAACAACAAGCTGAAAAATCACTTAAATGTCTTGTTGAACATGCACTTGATATTGAAAATTTTCTACAAACTGATATTTTTTCAAAAGCATGAAACAATGCACATTTATCAAATACAAATTTAAATCTTATTATTAGTCCTGTTCAAAATTATTTACATAATCTTATTGAAATTGTCGAGTATTTAACCGTTTGGCTTGAATTAGAAATTTCGTCCTATAGCGATAGGCATGATTGTTCTGCGGTTATACAAAATGAAATTAACGATGAGATAACTTCAATTAAACTAAATTGTGTCGCTTACATCGACCAAATTGTTGATTATCGTGAACAACGTGCTCTCGCTAGTAAAGAATTATTCAAACGACCACACGTCGATGATAACTATCATCTCATTGCTAATCTTGATTATCAATTACGTAGAAATTTTAAAGTAATGCTTATTTAAATTAAATCTTATATTTTACGTATCTGTAACATATTAACGAAAAACAAAGATTGAATTCATCGTCGCCAATCATCTCTTTATCAACATATGAATAACTATTTTTAGTTCATTTTTTTCTGCACGTGTGCAATATGAACCATAAAAATATTATCTAATGTACAGCATTTTCCATGATACCAAACAAAGAGAGAAGCCAATCAATGTAATGAAGCATAGAAAGTGCGACTGTAAAAAGAAAAAAAGTAATAAATGGTAAAATTCAGCCGTATTTCATCACGAACTTGTTTGCATGAGTTCTTAGTCCGAAAGACGAATGAAATCAAGAGTCTTTATCACATAGAGAACAATTCTGAATGAATGATAATATAGAATAGTAATTAAGTTTTGTTTTATTGATATTTGATTTTTGTATGTAAAAATAAAGCTAACATTTTGAAAAAGAAACGGGTAAATAGTCAACGCTATTTTGACGTTGCGCGCTAAGGTTATCTGCTTAGTTTTTTTGTTATTGTGGGTTTTTTCCTTCATCTATAGGTGTCAATGTTTTATGCGAAAAAATAGCTTTCTCACGGCCTGTATGATCAAAAAGTCGAGTAACACTCCATCGTCGAGCGATGTTCCATGTCGGCAATTTAGTTTTAATGCAAACAAACGATTGCTGTTGTTGTTCTTGAGTTTCCGACGGTACAGGAAGAGGTGTTGCTGTGCTCGACCATAATTCTATGGTTGTCAACGGTGGAATAATAAATTGTCCTGTAAGTATATATCGAAGTAATGGTTGACTATCCGTCTCTCGTTCAATATACCATCCAGTTATATTATACGATTTTCTTTGGCTTATATTATCAATAATAACAACATCACCGGACGGTGAACATCCATTGAACATAACAGGACCTTTTGAATAACGTCGAAAAAGGGTTTTCGTATGTACAAGTTCTTCGCCATCAGGCGCAGAACTAGTTGTCATTTTACTCTTATAACTGCCGATCGTAAATGGCAAGATTACAATTAAAGAAAATATACGGCGGGCCTACTCAAGCGATACACAACCATTTAATTTGATTGCTTCACGATTATTGATAACCAAGGCCAATGCTGTATACAATAATAATGCGAAATAATACAAATGAGTATTATTTTCGAAGAAGGAAGACAGAGATGTGTCCTTCTTTTTTTTTATTCGTTCTGTCGTCATTCTTTTTTTCTCCGTCCTTAATCTACTAGACGTGACTAAAATAGAAAAAATAATTTTTCACATGCTAAACACTGCCATTAAAATCATTCAATACAATTGTTTTCTGTTGTTTTTTATTCTCAACAATAAATTTCACATATATATCTTTGTTCATTTCCCTTTTCTTGACATGAAAAGAGAAATATAAAAAAAAACTGTTTATATAGGAACAAGACAGAAAAGAAATATCAACTAATATGTAATCACAAGGAACAAATCAGTAGTATGCTTTTTTTTGTTACATCAAATATAGACGAAAATAAATGTATAGAGATTTGCGTTTTATGGTAAAGCGTATTTACAAGTACAGATGAATAGTAACATCGACATCCTATATTACTAGAATAGCAAAGATCATGCCGGTGGCTGTTTCCGTTTTGGTATGAGCAGTGTACATATTGGTGTACTATCAATTTTGATTTCATCGTTGGAAATAATTGTCAGTGGCGAAGATTTTATGTCCGAAACATTACTTGCATCTTCTAATACGTTCATTTTACTTGTAGTCATCGCTTCAATATCAACTTCGAAAAAAAACAAAACAAGAAATGATTTATTTTAAACGGAAAAACAAAATTAAGCTTTTATTTACTCATAATCACATCTGTATCGTCAGTTATGGAGCAATTTTCATTGGAGTTCATTTTGCGACGTTTTGACGGTGATGCGCCTTCGACGATGTTCGATGTTGAACCAGCTCGTTTAACTGTTGGTGTTAAAACTAGAGGATTATTTATCACCGGTTGTTGCTGTTGATCTGTAGGTGGAACTAATTTGAAAAACGAACACGGTACAAACGAATATTAATACGAGTGTCCTTGAAATTATATTGTTTGAAACCATAAAAGGTGTGACTAACGAGAGAATCTCTCTAATTGATACCTAAACCTTGACAAGGTTCGGTTTCTTTCTATTTATTCTGCTGAACAACGAACATTTTGTTCTTCGTGAAAATTTCAGCTCAAACAAACGATATCAATTGACGAGATAAGACTTAACTTCGTTTTCTTGATGATAAGATCAAGAAATATTCAGACAAACAAAAAAACGCTATCTTAGTAAAATAACATTCGACGAATTTTACCTTTTTTAGAAACTAACGATTTTTTTCTTGATACTTTTTTTGACGTTGTTTCATCAGTTACTTCTTGTTCTTTATCATCCGGCTCTACTCGCTGGAGGATTTCTTTTGGTACGAGAATTCTCTAGAATAAATTTCATTAGAGAAAAACAGTGATGAAATTTTGCATAAAAATCTACTTGAAATTGATGAAGATAATTCGATAATTCAAATTTGACTTTTTCATCTAATGTTGGATCATGAATACAACCGAATAAAGGTTTTAATTCTCGTTGTTGATTTAAACGTGCAACTTTCTTGTCCCATACATGGGTTTTAGCCGCTTCACGAGCTTGTTTTGTCGATGTAGACTAAACGACGAACAAAAAAGAAAAGTCTCTATCAAAATAAAATTTTTCCGTTCATTACTTGTTGTTGTTCATCTTCATTTAATTCGTCGTCTGATAAATGGCCATGCGGTACAATGAATGAATCAGTATCACTGTCGTCATCCATTATTTCAGCGTCACTTAAATCATCAGCATCAGATCGTAGTTCTTCACCATCTTTGCAGGGTTCTTCCCATTCGCCTTCGGAGTCAACTGCATAATCAACCTATGAAAAGAAAATAACTATCGATTTGTTTCTGTTCATCAAGAAACTCATACATTATCAATCGATGCCTCAGGCTGTAATGGATTCACATTCGTACTTAAAGCTTTTTTAAATGTTCCGTAATAGGGTGGGCGATTAAAATATTTTTCTGGAAAATGAATATATCGAGTTTTTAATACATATGGATTATTTGCAGTTGTTGTTGCTGAAGATGATATTATTATGACTTGATTACTATTGGAATCACTAGAAGAAATGACGATGAATTTTTCGAATACAAAAAGAAATGATATAAACCTGTTCAGACGTGGACGTAAATTTGTTTCCAGGTCGAGTTTTTTCATAGATTTTATATTTTCAATGATGTCCGATACGAAACTCACATCCTGTACGAAGAACAATAGAGACTTTAAAAACAAATCACCAATACAAACCTGTTTCGAAACCAGTTGGTCAAAATCATTGGTACATCGTTGAACGATACTATTCAAACTTCCTGTTGATGTTTGTCCTTCTTTCTAAATTAAATAGAAAATTTCGTTCTGGTGAAATTAAAAATCCTTTTTCTTCTTACCTGCTTTTCAATAGGCTTAAAAAACCTATCCATATACGTCGCCATTTGTTTATGACATAATTCTTGTTTTTGTGCAGCTGCTTGTTTTTGTTCATTTTTTTTAATTTGTTCAGCCTTTTTGCTTCTGTAATACAATTCAGGAGTGATAGAAAAAAAAAAGTAACCTCGAGTTCTTACGCAATCTCGGCTTCTTTTCGAGCTTTCTCTTCAGCTCTACGCGCCTTTTCCAATTGAAGTTCCTCGGCTTTGCGAGCTTTTTCCAATTGAAGTTCTTCAGCTTTTCGTGCTTTTTCTAAAAGAAGCTCTTCTGCTTTGCGAGCTTTTTCCAATTGAAGTTCTTCGGCTTTTCGAGCTCGTTCTTCCGCTTTACGAAGTTTTTCTAATTGAAGTTCTTCGGCTTTTCGTGTTTTTTCCAATTGAATTTCTGCAGCCCTCTTCGCTTTCACTAAATAAAACGATTTAGACTTCTTGATGCCGAAAAAATCCATCGACTTACATTCGTCTTTAAGACGTTTTTTCTCTGCTCTAACTGCTTCTTCTTCTGCTTTCTTTGCATCTCGTTCAGATTTTCTTTGAACCTACGAAAACGAGATTTTTCATTTTTTTTCAAGCATTGAATTTCTTTGTCTCACTCACCAATTCAGTTTTTGATAATCGTGGGTTGGGTGTCGATGGTTTCGAACCATCGGTCTCTGTGGAATAAGTACGAGTGGGAGAAGTTGCAGATAGAACAACGCATTCGTCCGAAGACGAATAGTTCGTATTATTATTATCTGCAGCCATCGTCAGTTGAACACGACACAATATAAAAATACTGGTGAAGTTGTTTTCTATTTAAAACAAAGAAATATTGAAATGATTGAGATAGGCTACATAGACTTTTATGCATATGTAGAAAATCGCCATCGAAAAAAATACATTCGGTCTTTGTGACGAAAAGAAAAGGTGGCGCTCGATGACAGTGATCGCTGAACACGCATGCCAATTAATATCGTTTAGAGAAACACAGAAGCTCATAGTCTCACAAAATCGTTTAAGCTATTAGATTTCTTTGAAGAGCTTTGATTCCTATTGAATTTTAAACATATGCACTTTATGCTCTGAAAGAAATAGAAAAAAATACTTTCCTTTTTTTTTTGCATAAAATTCGTTCGACAACTAAGGACAACTATTGATAATTCCCTATATGGGTTACATATATGTATATAAACGAGTATAACGTGGAGTAATGGACTCTAGGCTGGTGAACGCCTAGATAGGCTCACTTCAGACGATCAAATCAATGGTACATATGCAATGTCGTCATCAATTTTTGATCAACATTGTGAATTAGTTGTTGATTTTATTAAATATCATCGTGATAAAAAGACTTCACCAATTTTTCGGACATTAGAAAATCGATTTTATGCAGCGTTTATAGTAAAAAAAAGTTTGTTTATAACAACGAAAAAGAAACTAACAATAATTCCCTATTCTATTCTAATTCAATAGGTCAAAATGATGCGGGGAAAGTCGTCGCATTTGGCGTCGGTAGTCGATGTTCATCACCGGATGCTATCGATGATGATGGTTGTGCTTTACTCGATTGCCATGGATTAGCTATGGCAAGACGAGCCTTATTACAGTAGGCTATTCAGCGTTTTATTATCCTATACGAGAAATACAACTGAAAACAATCTTTTAGATATTTCTATGATGAACTTCATCAAGTAGCTCATGGTATACCTCCACATCGAAATATCTTTATAGATTCTCGTGGTGAAAAATTACAATTACGCAATAATGTAACACTTCATTTAGTTTTATCCGAAGCACCGAATGGTGACGCGAAACAATTTCTTCCAGCCGATACGAATAATTATCTCAGTGCCTATGATGCTGTAATTTTCTCGTTTTTTTTTTGAAATCGATAAATAGTATTGACTGAAATTTAGGTACAAATGAGAATGACAACACATGCACCGATCTATGAAACACACGAGCAAGGTCGATTAAGATATAAATATCTAGAAGGTACGGACACAATAGCTGCTACTCTTCGGCAACAATTTGGTATGATGTCATGCAGTGATAAAATTCTCAAATGGAATGTTCTGGGTGTACAAGGTGCTCTTCTTTCAACACTCATTGAACCGATTAAAATATCTTCAATTACGCATAGTAAATTTCTATAGTAGATTTTTTTTCACAAGATGAAAAACTTTCGTTTTCACAATAGTGAGTGGTTTTAAACAACAGCATACGTCACGTGCGTATTGCTGTCGATTGAGTAGAACAGCATCAACCACCATTCATCTTCATCATCCGAAAATTGGTATGAAAATAGTTCGTTTTCCTACTCACGTTTTCTTCAATATAAAAATGTGTAGGTCGACCGAAAATTGCTATTGTACCATACAATGATCTTGATCATCAATTAAGTTATTCATGGTCAAGAGCTTATCCCGGTGAATTAATCGATGCGTCCACGGGTCGTCCTACTAAAGGGTAACTCGTTTTCTTCTAAATCGAAATATCAAAAAACAATTTCCTTCTAGAGGTGTTAGTATTATATCAAAAGCAACATTATTAAGTGAATTTAAACATCTATGTTTGAAAATGTGCCAACCATGCAATGTACAAATGACATATAGCGAATTAAAAAAATTCAATCAAGATTATTTTCAACAAAAACAAGCAATGATTTTATTTCTTGAACAAGCCAATTTTGGTTATTGGTCATCGGATAAAATTCATTTTGAACAATTCAAATATTCGTCGAATATTTTATCTATCAATCGAAATAATAAGAATTAATCATTCGTGCTGCAGATAGACTGATATTTATGTTTAAAATAGATAAATAAACGATATGATCGTTCTTGTCATAGTAAAAACAAAAAATTATTATTTTGATATTTCAGATCTTAAAATGTTAGGGACAAGGACAATGCTTGGCCTACGACATGCTACACCTGCTTATCGATGTCTTATACAAGTGCGTAGGATATTCCTATTGGCTTTTCTTTATAAGAAAGAGTCTAGTACAAAAATCTTACTTTAGAAATCGTCTGATTTACATTTTATTATTTTCTGCATATTTTATAAAGGACACTTTTAAGATGGCTGTTGATAGCTCTACCGAACGATATTATTTGGAACAGGACACAGTTTCTCTGTCAGATATTCAGACAAAACAAATTTGCTCTAGACACTTTCCTGCTTCTAACGTCAAGTCTCTACGACATTTCCTCACAGAGTTATATCAAAAGCAAAAATTTGCCCCACCCGTTACTTTTTTCGCGTCAAGCAGTTTTCATTATGTATAAATCTAATCTATTTTTAGCAACAAATCACTGATATGTCGAATGTGACTAAATATTTTCGTCGTTGTCTCGCTCAAGTTGTTATTGAAAAGAAAACATTCAAACGAGATAAACCACATATTAACATTGGAACGATTGGCCATGTTGATCACGGAAAGACAACTTTGACAGCTGCTATTACACGCAGTATGATAACATTGAAGAAAAAGTGTTTTTCTTTTGTATTTGTTTTTTGATAAATAGTTCTCAGTGAAAAAAAGTTGGCTAAAGTAAAGAAATATGAAGACATTGATAATGCACCCGAAGAAAAAAAACGTGGTATTACAATCAATGCCGCTCATATTGAATATTCAACAGTCAATCGACATTACGGCCATGTTGATTGCCCTGGACATGCTGATTATATTAAAGTATAGAAAAATTATAATATGATTTCTAATCGCTGTTGCTTTGTCTTAGAATATGATCACAGGTTCGTCACAAATGGATGGTGCTATTCTTGTTGTTGCTGCAACTGATGGTGTGATGCCACAAACACGTGAACATTTACTTCTCGCTAAACAAGTAATGCGAACGGTTACAGTTTCGTCTAATATTTTGTTTTCTTTCCAAGATTGGAATCGAAAAAATTGTCGTTTTCATGAACAAAGCCGATGCAGCTGATAAAGAAATGCTTGAATTAGTAAGTTCAAATTTTTGTTGATGATGATTATTATCACCAGCGATTGTTTTAGGTTGAACTTGAATTACGGGAATTATTAACACAAATTGGTTTCGATGGTGAAAATACGCCAATTATACCTGGCTCAGCATTATGTGCACTTGAAGTTTGTTGAGAAGATTTTTGTTTTTTTAGGAGTATAAGAAATTTTATTGTAGGATCGAGATCCTAAATTAGGTAAAGAAACTGTATTAAAATTACTCGAAGCTGTTGATAAATACATTCCTGTACCACCGAGAGCTGTCGATCAACCGTTTCTATTACCTGTTGAACATGTTTATTCAATCCCGAGTAAGAGAAACTTATTCAAAATAGATACGAGTATCATAGATTTTTTTCTGAAGACAAAGGAACCATTGTTACTGGACGTGTTGAACGTGGCACTGCGAAAAAAGGTGATGCGATTGAAGTCGTTGGACATAATAAAATTGGTAAAGGCATCATTGGAGGTAAGCATTTCGAACTAATTTCTTAAACAAGAATAGTGATGAAATTTCTATGATTAAGGTCTTGAAATGTTTCATCAAACAATCGATCAAGCTCAACCAGGTGATCAATTAGGTATTTTATTGAAAAATGTTCCAAAAGATGATGTGCGACGAGGTGTTTTTGTTGGTAAACCGGGTTCATTAAAGATGTATAATAAGTTTGATTGTCAAGTAAAAGAACAAGTCGAATAAATATTGAAAATTTCTTTGATTTTCTTCTCATGATTAGACTTATTTCTTATCGAAAGAAGAAAGTGGCCGTGAAGAACCAGTACCAAAAGAATTCGTATTGACAATGTACTGTCGAACATTTGACATTGGTGTTAAAGGCATTGTACCGGAAGGTCGAGAAATGATTATGCCTGGTGAAGATGCAACATTAACATTATACACAAGCAAAAGAATGGTTTGTTTAAATAGAAAAATTTGTCTTATTTCTTCAAAAAAAAACTATTTAGGTTTTGGAAAAAGGTGTTCGTTTTACACTACGTGATGCGGAGAATAAAACCGTTGGCACTGGTGTTGTAACAAATCTACATCCGGATCCACCACCAGAAGAATTGAAAAAATTCTGGAAACGAGCTGCTTAGGATATTAATGAATATCGTGTTTTTTTTCGTTTGTAATAAAAAGAAACAGCGTTAGATAAAAGATATTTATCAACACATCTTGTTAACAAGTTTCTACATTTTAGAGAAAAAAAATGTTCTATTTAATTTTGATATCGGTATTATTCTGTGTGCGATGTGCAATGGGAGATAATTATCAACCTGAACAAATTCATTTGTCTTACACAGGTTGTCGCTCTTGCTAGGATAAATTTGATTTTAATTCGATTGTTTTTGTATAACAAAAAAGGTATTTCAAATGAAATGCTTGTCACTTGGAGTACACAGCTATTGACAAATGAAACTTACGTAGAATATAGCCTATGGAATGGAACATTTTCGTTAAGAGAAAATGCGACGATGTCAAAATTTATCGATGGTAGTAGTGCACATCGAGTTTTATACATGTATAGAGCTACTTTAAAGAATTTAACAATGGATACGGTTTATAGTAAGTAATGATTGGCCTGTTTTGTTTGATGTTTATATGTGATATTTAGTGTATCATGTCGGTAGTCCAGCTGGTTTGAGTGCGAAATATTCATTTCGAACAATACTTGATGAAAATCGAAAATCGTTTGCTGTCTATGGAGATTTAGGCGTTGTCAATGCACAGAGTTTAGCACGCTTACAACGAGAAGCTCAACTCGATTATTATGATGCAATTTTACATGTGGGAGATTTTGCTTATGGTAATGGAATTGAATAAATCGGTAGATTTTTTCGTCATTTTTTTATTTTAGATATGGATGCCGATGAGGTTTGTTTTTTATAGTGAAACTTGAATGTTCATTCGATTTAGGCACGGAAAACTAACATGTGATTTTTAGAGCCGAGTTGGTGATCAATTTATGAATGAAATTCAAGAGATAGCTGCCTATGTTCCATATATGGTCGCTCCTGGAAATCATGAACGAGCTTAGTAAATATTATTTTCATATGAATTCTTGCAAAAAAAATGAAATTCCATATTTTTTGTAGTAATTTTTCAAATTATAAATCTCGTTTCTCAATGCCATCCAATGGCGATGGTGAAAATCTTTGGTATAGTTATAATTTTGGTTTAGCACATATCATCAGTTTTTCAACGGAAGTTTATTTTTGGTGGGAATTTGGTTTTGCACAAATTGCTAATCAATATCGTTGGCTTGAACAAGATTTACAATGGGCTACAGCTCCCGAAAATCGAACTAAATATCCATGGATTATCACCATGGGCCATCAACCAATGTATTGTTCAAATGCGAATCAAGACGATTGTACATTTTATGATAGTCGACCACGTTCCGGTTTGCCCTACATTCATACGTTTGGATTAGAAAAACTGTTTTATGATTATGGAGTGGATTTAGAACTTTGGGCTCATGAACATTCCTATGAAAGGTAGTTCGTATATCGAAAAGAAAAAAAAAAGAAATTAATTTTCTAAATATTTTCGAAGACTTTGGCCTATTTATAATTGGACAGTATATGAAGGGTCGTGGAATGAACCGTATACAAATCCCGGTGCTCCAACGCATGTAATTAGTGGTTCAGCAGGTTGTTATTCAAAACATAATCCTTTTCTCAATCAAACTCAATTATATTCGGCATTCCGTTCGGATGATTATGGTTATTCACGTATGAAAATTATAAATTCAACTCATTTATATATGGAACAAGTATCAGATGATCAAGTAAGTTTATTGAAATTCATTTAGATGAAGAAATTTAAAAAAAAATTAACTGATAGGGCGGCAAAGTCATTGATAATTTTACATTGATTCGTGAAAAACATGAACCTTATTCAAATCATAAACATAAAGGTATTAGCATTGAATATAAATCTATTGGTTATCATCATTAAATGCAATAATTTAAAATGAGTGATTTTCCTTTGCTTTTTTTTGTAATTAAAATGATCAGTTTACCTAAATAAATATTTTTATCATTAAATTTTATACATTAATACTAATGTTCTTATGAAATATTCGAGCATCGGATCAGACGTTACACGATTGTATTCACTAAAAAATGTAAAAACGTAAGTATTATGCAAGTCTATATGCAGCGGATACAAAACGATTTTTCATGTTTATTTTAATATGTCATGGATGAAAACAAACTGTTAAAGACGGAGTGGTTGTCTTTAAAAAAATATCAATTGAATAATCTGGCAACTGATAAAATTCAAATTTAAGTAAATTACAATTACCAGTGCAGTCCGGTAAATATTAATTCCATTGCTATTGTATTCTAAGTTTCAAATAGTTCCTCTCTTTTTTATCCGTTGTCAATATTCATCTTTTCTTGCAACTTTAGTATATTTTTCATCAAAACGAAGTATAATCCTTTATTGTGACTTTCATTTTTGTATTGCTTAAAAGAAAAGAAATCGTGTGGCTTAAGTGAAACTGATATCGTAAAGCATTCATTTGTTTCATTCGTGTATACTTTCAACTAGTCGATTTCATCAAACCAATATGACTTTCATCCTATTGCTATTATTGATTGTATTGGAAACATTTAATTGCAACCAAAATGTAGCAGGTAGGCTGACAATGGGGAGCAGATTAAGGGTGCATTGTATTTGAAAAAATTCAAGTTTACGTGTGAGAGTTTCTTTTAACTATTGAAAAAAGAGTAAACGTCAACGGAGTCTAGTATTTACATTCTCTAGAAGTTGTCTGCCAAACACCTTATGGGCTACCCAACAGATATGCGACTGGCGATGCTCCATTTTCAATCCAATCAGGTGATTTCAATAATGATAAGAAACTGGACATTGCAGTGACCAACGCCAAGAGTAATGATATCAGTGTGCTACTTGGTAATGAAGATGGGTCGTTTCGAAGTCAGACAACCTATTCGGCTGGTTCATATCCACAATCTGTCACAGTAGGTGATTTCAATAATGATAACAAACAAGATCTAGCAGTAGCCAACACGGAAAGTGACAACATGAGCTTGCTGCTTGGTAATGGAGATGGCACATTTCAAAATCAACTCATTTATAGTACTGGTGCGAGTCCTACTTCTTTGGCAGTGGGCGATTTCAATCATGATAACAAACTAGATCTAACAATAGTCAACAATGGTGAAGATACCATCACTGTGATGCTTGGACATGGAGATGGGACGTTTCAAAATCAGATAAAGTATGCAGTTGGCCATTCACCTTACTTTGTAACCGTAGCCGATTTCAATAATGATACTAATTTGGACTTGGTAGTGGCCAACAACAATGAAAATGATAAGAGCATCAGTGTACTACTCGGCAATGGAGATGGAACGTTTCAGAATCAAACGAAATATGCAGTTGCCGACAATTCATATTCTGTGACAGTGGGTGATTTCAATAATGATACCAAAGAAGATCTTGCACTGGTCAACTTTATTTTGAACAGTGTCAGTATACTTTTTGGTAATGGAGATGGGACATTTCATAATGAAACAGAGTATCTTGTTGGTTTTCATCCGTTCTCTGCAACTGTGGGCGATTTCAACAATGATTCTAAACTGGATTTAGCAGTAGTCAATGCATTTGGGAATAGCGCTAGTATACTACTTGGGAATGGAGATGGCACGTTTCAAAATCAAACAGAATATATCATTGGTCCGTTTCCTTGTTCAGTCATATTAGGTGATTTCAATGGAAATAATAAATTAGATCTGATAGTATCCAATTCTGGTAGTAACACTATCGAAGTGATGCTCGGTAATGGTGATGGAACATTTCAAAATCGAAAAAAGTTTATCGCTGGTTCACAACCATCTTTTGTGGCAACAGGTGATTTTAATAGAGATGCTAAGTTAGATCTAGTAACGTCCAATAATGATGACCAAGACAGAACTATCAGCGTACTACTCGGCAACGGTGATGGAACGTTTCAGAATCAAACGAAGTATACAGTTGCCGATACTCCACATTCCTTGGCAATAGGTGATTTCAACAATGATAACAAATTGGATCTAGTAGTAGGCAATCTCGATGACAACAGCGCCAGCGTAATACTAGGCAATGGAAATGGAACATTTCATAGTCCAACCAAATATAGAGTTGGCCTAAGTCCATTCTTCGTGATCATAGATGACTTCAACAATGATATTAACCTTGACTTAGCAATAGGTAACCTCGATAGCGATAGTATCAGCGTACTACTCGGCAATGGAGATGGAACGTTTCAGAATCAAACAGTGAATGAAGTTGGTCATGGTCCATGTTCTTTAATAGCAGATGATTTCAACAATGACAATAAACTAGATATTGCAGTTGCCAATTACTTTGATAATTACGTTAGCGTACTGCTCGGCAATGGAGACGGGACGTTTCAAAATCAAGCGAAGTATGAAGTTGACGATGGTCTATCATCCGTGACAGCAGGCGATTTCAACAATGACACTCTAGTGGATATAGCAGTGGCTAACTATAAGGGCAGCAGTGTTAGTGTACTTCTCGGCAATGGAGATGGTACATTTAAAAACGCAATAGTGTATTCTAGTGGCATTAGCCCATCCTGGGTCTTGTCAGCTGATCTAAACCATGATGGTAAGTTGGATATGGTCTTGATTAACTCCTATGAGAATAGTATTGGAGTCATGCTCGGCAATGGAGACGGTACATTACAGACTCAAATACTTTATACAGTTGGCACAGGTCGCGCGTCTATGACATTAGGTTCATTCAAGGACAATAACAAATTTGATTTAGCAGTGAGCAACGCCATCGACAACACCATCACTATTTTTTTAAACGACTGCTCTTAGTACTTTATTCAATTTTGTTTATAGAAGTTGTTCACAGCATAAATGTTTTTATCGAAATGTACTTATATACTGATAACATTTCTTGATCAGTTTCAAACATAAAATCACGAGCTAATTTATTTCACATCGAAGCCTCATTTCAGGGTTTGTCTTTTGATCTACAAAATAGTCACAGATCATATATAGGTCGATGAATGTTGTTGTTAAAATATGCATGAAAACAAAATTAGAACGTGCAATAAATTAACAAACTAGGCGAAAATCCAAAACTGCAATTCAAATATATGCTATAGATTGGAGAATGTTGACAGATACAAATGATGTCACTTACAGTAGAAGCAATCTTGACTCACGTGAAGCGAAGATCTGCGTAGACTTACGCAACATTTGCGCATGTTATGCTCTAGTGTTGTTTTAAGCCTGAGGATGTGAGCGTGAGAACTGAGAAAATTCATATCAACAACGTCCAATTCACACCCACCCTCTTATCCAAATGTCCTGATTTTCTCAGTATTTTGATGACATGTGGATACGATTGTTCTAGGATGATGATGAGTATTTTTATCGGTGTTTTCACGCAAGATTATAAATTATTGCTATCACACTATTATATTTTACGCGTATTTCCTGTCTTGTTTTCTCATTGTCTATATCTATATAATGTGATATATATTCCATTGCTATCGGCGTGTGTATGAGTACCTGCTTCTATGTATTTGTATTCTGAACCGAAGAAAAAACAAAATTAAAGTTAACATCAACACTAATAGTGAATTTGCATCTTTCCTTCGCACACTCGAAGCCATACCACGTATGACACAACCAACCTAGTCTATGGACATCCTATATATCATGTTTGCGATTCATCAGTGCGTTTTTTCTAGAATAAAAACTTAGAGAAAATGATAGTATGTAGAGTATTTCTTTTTTATCTGGCTTTCAAGGAGTTATTCCAATGCAATTATAAACAACACCAGTACCGCTCCATGATATATAAAAGCTAATTGATAATGTATGCCCAGCAGTTGTTGAAAAAGATTGAGATATATTACCATGTGGCGTGATTGCGGCATCACTATAACACCAGCTGCCGCCATAGCAGCTGCTTCCGCCTGATGTTATGTCATTAGTAGCGCTGCCAATCCAAATTACTGCTCCGCTTTCAAATCCACCATTAGTAAGTAATTCCTGAGAGGTGTTCATATCGATAACAGACACGTCATCTATATAAGTAGTGGCAGGAACATTGTATGTATCGATGGTTATTGTTTCACTTGCTGATTGGGCAGTATAAAGCCATGCTACCCGAATGTAACTGGTGCATGCAATATTTACCGTATATGTGCTGAATAGCAGTGCACCAGGCGAAAGATAGCTATTCGCTAAAATAAATAAATCGTAGGTTTCATTTAGAGGAAACATGAGAACAATGTGAGCCTTTATCACCTGTATCATTGCTAGTTGGGCACACTGCGAGGGGTGCAGGTATAGTTGAAGCTGTTGTAGCTGTTGTTGTAGTAGTTGTTACAGTGGTTGTAGTTGTAGTAGTTGTTACAGTGGTTGTAGTTGTAGTTGCTGTCGTGGTTGTAGTGGTTGTTGTTTGAGGAGTGGCAGACGTAGCGGTTGTACTTGTTGAAGTAGTGATCGTTTGAATCGTTGTAGCGGAAGCTAAAAATAACCTAGACATGAAAATTCCTGTCCATTTTATGTTTCTAGACACGAAGAACACTTCTATTATTCATAAAGAATCTTGGGTGAAAGATTCAAATGCATCACACTCCTTGAAATGTGTTCTAAGACTTGAGTGTTTGGGTGTTAAGCTAAATCACATAGTAACATGCGTTTTGATATGAAAATTCCTAGGTGAAACGTAGAACGATTGATCGATATGAATTTGCAGACTATAATCACATTTCGCTGACTGACCTTGCAAATAAAATGTAATGACGATTGCCAAACTGATTCCTCCAACCAGAGCCCCAATTATCAAGCCACATAGAAGGTCGATAGAAAGTTGTTGTGAGCTATGATCAAGAAGTAAATTAAAAGACTCGAATAGAATAACACAAAAACATTACCCCTTATTTTTTGTCCGTTCATTGCTATTCTGATGCTGAGTATTTTCAGAGATAGCCAAAGAATGCCTCTGTTCTAACCAATCTCTGTTGGTTTTCATATTGTCTTGGAAATTTATTCTGATTAATACAGTACGCAACAGTTGAGAATAGTAAAAAAAAGAATTAATGGAAATATGATTGAATAAAAGAGAAACAACACATATATATTGAAACTCAATTGCTATTGATTTTTCATTTCTCATAAGCTACTGATGAATTACTCTTTTTCAAATGGGTCAGAAATTCTACTCTGATTCATCCTATGGAATTCAAAATAAAAATACACCCTTACACTATATTGGTAAAGTTAGTAAATAATTCTTTGATTTCACTATAGAAAAAAAGAGTAGTATTGACGTCTGTTAATAGAACGTTGCTATTGAAAGAAAACAAACAGGCGCATCAAACGAAATTCTATGGCATCTGATTAAAATATGCTTCTCTGATAATGCTTTGTCTGCTAATGGCATATGAGAAAAAAAACAATATTTCTAGTTTTGATTTGTCTATACACAATCATACCGAGAAGCAAATATGATTTCATCTATGACAATATTTAACATAGTCAATCTGATTTCACTTTGGACAATGTGAACATTTCTTTCAATACACTGCCATATGCTTTTAGCACTTTCTATGTTCATTTTTCAATTAATTTGAAACAAAACATATTCTCTTAATAGTGAATAAAGTAGAAAATAAAATAACAATAGGATAGTTCTAAATAAAGGTACTGCAATTCAAAATAATTCAAAACGCATGCTGAATTAGTTTTGGTGAGACATTCTAGTTTTGCTTGCTTGCTTGTTTGCTTGTTTATTAATAAACAGTCTTCAGGGCTCTCTATCACAAATAGACTTGAAATAACATTATAAAATTAATTTGAATAAAGAAAATATAACAAAAAAGAAAAAACAGAATTGTATAAAAAGTACAAAATAAAGTTCCAAGCAGGATTACAAGCAGAATGAAATTTAATACAGAAAATTAATTGAAAGGAGCCATATAAATATTTGAAAACTGTACTGTATAGCAGTAACATAGCATGAGTGGACGTGCTAGCGCATCCACCTAAAAAAACTACTCGACATCATACAACATTTTTATATAACTCGAAAAGGCAATTATTTGTTCGGTGCATTATTCTAAAGAAGAATACATCCTATTCGGCAATGTTGAACATTCCGGAACCAATTTCCTCTAATTTCCGGAATTCCGGGAATCGGACAGTGTTCAGGTTTGACGTAGTTCCGAAATTGACGGAATTGATTCCGGTGGTGGAACTGGTTCCGGAATGTTCAACATCGCAGAATAGGATGACTGCTCTTCGAAAGACCGATGAAAACCATCCAAAAAAGCCTTATTTTTTACATTTACACTGCGTACTATCTTTTGGATGTGGGTGTGAGTCTGTAGCTGTGACTACGAACATCTCTTTACTAGCACCCACACCCACACCCTATTAATTTACTTTTTATGTTTTTTTTGACGGAATGTTCTAAATTTACTCACGGCATGAAACGAATTCTACTTGGTGATAGTATTAAAACAAAAGAAGAATTGAAAATAGCATTATATTAGGGTTAAAACAAAACACTCAACATTATATTCGGCATGATTATAACTTCAATTGTTAATCAAGTTGAAAATGCATGTAATCTTGATTTAAGATTCGTTGCTCGAGTGTGCTTGTGTGTAGTGAAACAATCAATATCTTTTACAATATATTATTATGAATAATCATAGCCGAGCTATGAAATCTTTTCTTCAAAAATAGGTCACTGAACACGGTATAATTGTTTTTTTTGTTGTTAACAATGTCGGATACTTGATTTCGTCGATAAAATATCTGTTGAAAACTTGATAAGAATATAGATGCAGACAATATGTTTCACATTTGATAAACCTTATTTCGCACTATTGCACTAAAATTTGGATTTCAAGATATAATTTATCTAACGCATGAATGCAAGTCTATCATTGTAAGTTACCTTTAGTAGATTTTTGTATGGGAACGCTAGAAAAATGATTTTTTTTTTCATTGAACTGAATGCAGCAACTACGAAGTGTGAATATAGATCCCTTTTTTACATTGAAATGAATTCATTCCTACATCCGAAATAGTATAGTATTAGGGATATCCACCTGAATCTAGAGGACATCAATACATTTCAAAACGTCGATTACTCAAGGGTTAACACTAAAAAAACGTCTTACAATTTTGCAACCGATCTTGAAATTGATCATTCCTGCATTTTTTATGAGAAAACGTTTTTGAAATTTAGCAAAATGTATATCAACACAACACTAAATAATCGTGATGGTTAATCTTTGCAACTTCAAATATGGGGGTGTCACATTTAAATTTTAAAAAATTAAATTTTTTTTAAATGAAAAGTTAAATTTAAAATTAATTTAAATTCAAGAAATTTAAATTTAATTAAATTTTAAAGTTTGTATCATTTAAATTTAACTAAATTTAAATTAAATTGTTTGAAATTCAAATTAGTTAAATTTTGAAAACTAGCAGATAAAAATAGTTTTTGACTTGATTGCTACTATTTAAAGTCAAATTTGAGTATGTTTCCTGTTTTCTAAAGTTAAAACTAGTCATTCTTCTATGAAGTGTGCTATTAAATATATTTTTATGAGTATCCCAGTATTCTGAAGAAGAAAGATGACGGATCCTGCATAATCTGTAGAGAAATTTTGACTATTATGAATAAATATTAACCTAAAATACTAGGTTTTCCTCTCATTTAGTATGTACTACTGTTAAAGTCACGTATTTCTCTCGTAGCAATGATGTTTATCCATCCAAACAATTTATTAAATCAAGAAATAAATTTTCAAAAATTTAATTTAAATTTATTTTAAATTTAACTTGATAGAATTTATGTTAAAATTAAATTAGCTTTTCATGAAGTTAAATTTAAATTAACTAAACTGTAAATTGACACCCCTATTCAAATATTAGCATGAAACTAATAATATTAATATAATGAATTTCATAATCGTTTCAGAAGTTGTGAAAGATTCTGATATGATATTTTTCATTTATGCTCAATGCTGATATTTACAAAATTTAATTTATCATGATTTGATCCCTCAAGAGTAAATTGTTGTAAAAAATGAAATACTTGCATTTGGAAAAAGACACAATGAGTTTCATAGATCAATTATTTATTTCTAGAATAGCATTTGAGAATTGAAGTTTACAGTAATTCAGCAGCTGCTCTTCGTACGAAACTGGGTATCCGAAGTTAATACTCATGAATATTGAAAATCACAATAATTAATTGAATCATAAAGGAGCTAGAATAGTGTGCTTGGATGTATTCTTTATGTATCCTACAACAAACAGTCGCATCCTACACATACTCGAATAAATTAATGCATGTGAATTATGAATCATGGATAAAATTGATTGAATACATTTATTTAATAGTGCTCTATCTCTGCATCGCTTTGGTAGAGAAAAATATCGACTTAATTGTGTTTTTATTTTTGAGACACGCTTCATAAATGAATACAGGTGAAGTGTAAATAAGGAATACAAAAGCGAATATTTTTATATGTTAAAGCCTTTCATCGATCTACAGATACGTAGAAAATACGAAGAAAACAAAATGACTAGCGAAATAATGTTTATCATTATATCAAACAATCAGGGTAAACGAATATGGACAGCCCCGTTGGATTATATTTATTGAAGCTGTCCGTCCTCTTTCTGTACATGTAGTATCATTATCGATATGATTCAGATGTAAACTTGATTATTGAAGCATGACCAAGTAAACACTGGTATTAATAAGACCATTGCGTTTATTTGTTTTATTGCATTTATTTTTGGTGTCTAATAGTCATAGTGAAGGTAAAATTTGTTATTATTCAACGTGAACCCGGTAAGATTTTACTTGTTCGATTTTCAGAAATTATTAAATAAGAGAACAAATTTAATGTTTAATGTTTTTTGGTAAATCTTTACTACAATTCGCTCAGTATTACACACAAGCTATTAATGGATAAATCAAAATATCAGTTTAAAACTTAGTGCTCAATATGTATTATGTTTTCTTTTTAGTACTTATATCAGAAATCATATTTTGATGAAATGTTTCAGTATGAATAAAGCATTATTCTTCGCATTAGTCCGTGATTTTTCACGCTCTAAAAAAGGGGCTTATTGACGACATTATATTCAGGAAAAAAGCCTTTGAAGTTTCATCGACTGTTGGTGAACGTAAACATTTTATTTTAATACAATCTAATATATGCTTCATAGTTTATCGAATACTCCATCGACACGTCCTTTGAGGTCCTCAGATTAGGAGCTATATCCATTAAGTGTTGTTACGTCCTTTGTAGCGCCCGCATCTACTATAACCCTAAAAATATAAATGAGATGATGCAAATAAATTGCCAGCTGTATATATGAGCTAGAAGTATTCTTTTAATAGGAATTGATCGCTAATACACTATCTGAAATCTGTCGACTGTTCGATTAATTCAGCTCAATAAAGTCACAGTTCTTTTTTGGCAATGCAGTCGATATTAAGTATGCATCAATTGTTTTTCATCGTGGTACTCCTCTTCATTGGTAAGCTACTGTTATATATTAATTGTACTTGTAAGAATATCTTTTATCGTAGGAATGCACCATACAACAGCTTTACAGTGTTACTCCTGCTCTTATGATATACCCAGCTGCAATGACCCGTTTAACAGCAGTGCCACCGGAGTGACTACAGTATCGTCTAACACTTCGTGTTGGGTAAGTAGACGAATATGGTTTTATCTATCAACATTCATTCTCTATATACTGTATTTAGAAAATCAAGGGATTTTCTATGGGTATGACTGTAGCAGTCAGAGGTACTGGTAATTCTGGTAATGATACAATCGACTGTACAAATAATGGCTGTAACGCTAGGACGCAGGCATCAATCACAGCTATACTTTGCTGCTGTAATACTGACTTTTGCAACACGGCAATGTCGATGAACATGAATATTGCAATCGTTCTTGCTGCCATTATCCTCACTCGTCTTCAGCATTAATTGATAATATTTTTCACCACTTTTAAATTAATTTGGACAGTTTTTATGACTTTTCTTTCGTCTCGTGATATTTCAAGGACTTTGACTAGAAAATTACTTTCAAGCGAAAGACTCTCTGTTCGATGCTATTTATTGCTCATTTAATTTCGTAAACTAGTGCTTTGGCGATGTACGCATTTATCAATATGAAAAAAGATCAGTCTATCTCTTAAAAAAATTTTGATGTTGCAATGTTTTAGTGATTTCTATCGAACTTGAACACGTCCATTTTAATGAAGCTGAACATTTTGATCTGTAGAAATCATTACTGTACAACTGAATACATAACATTTATAATTTCAATTTTCAACTATATTTTTGTATTTATTACTTTGGTATAAGGTTTCAATTCACTAAATTTCCTTACTATCACAGTATCATTGTGGAATGAAAGTCAAAACAGAATAATATGACTCATTGAAGCTCATAATATAGCTGTGAGAATTTGTTTTGAAATGATGGTTTCAAGAAGACAACAGACACATATTATGAAATAATTCAAATGATTCAATCATATTAGGAAAACAAAACTAAATAAAAGCTTTAAACAAACTATCAAAAACAAATGCTAGTTTTTCTAGAATGTCAATGAGGCAAAAGATAGAGTTTAATTTGCTCAGCATGTGAATACCATTCAAGTAGCTTGCAAAATATCAATAATTCGAATAGTATATTCATTTTGATTTGGACATTTTTGTGAATAAAATCAATTTCGTTTTTCGTTGAATCAATTTTTCATATTTATTCTATGTTTGCTCATCATTCATTATCACTATCGTTCAATGTTGACATTAATATTCAAATAGAATCAGATGAAGTAGATGATTTATTCTAGAAAGGCGTTTATTAACTTGAATATAAACAGAAAATTTATGCTATGATTTTAAGAGAACAAAATTTTCTTGGCTTGATACTCATATGGGTGTTCTTGGAAGTATTATTGATATCTCAGTATTTCCGAATCATAATCCTAGTTGGCCAATGCTTTTTTGAATCTTGTTTCATTTCAAGTAGTTTCATTCCATGTTTCATAACTGATGTAAACCCAAGTAGATAATTTTGCTTCTCATCAAGCTTTCATTAACCCATATCTTCAAGTAGTGGCGTAACCAGGGTAGGACATGGTTGGGCGCAGTCCAATCATCGGGGCTGTACGCCCTACCACCAGCCGTTTAAAAAAAAAAGATATTTTTTTATAATGCTAGACAGAATAAAAAATTGGACGATTGTATTCCCTCCGACCTCTTTTTTAGTTGATACTCAATCTTTTTGCATCACAAATGAAAACTAATTTCTCTTCACTATACAATGAAATTTAAGTTCTGAAGCAGACGTTGAACAGTTCAAAGTTAAACAGTAATAATCTCTATGTTGAACCATTTTCGAAGCAAACAATAATTTAGAAAACCACTTTTAAATGTACATAATGATAGCCCATGTTCTGCTCTTTTAGAATCACTATAGTTTTTTTCCCAAAGACCATTTTTGACCGAAATTAGTGATCTTTGAGAGGTCCTCTATGTCAAAAACGGCAGTATAATTAGGTCTTTGATCTCTAATTACTGATTAATTAATTAAGCGCTCAGCGTGTGCGGAATTAAAAGTTACGTAGGACAAGTTTGGTCGGTTTCCTCAAAAACCGCGTGAAAATTGCAGAAAATTAAAAAAACCAGCAAAAACTTTTCGAGAAAATGTTTTTATGTTTTTCTCAAAATCATATTTTTTCATTTTCCATCCTAGTTATTTTGCCTTTAACTATGTTTTTCGAAAATTGTTTTTACCATTCGATAGAGCATGCAAAGACGCAGGGCATCTCGTGCTCCGATTTTTGAAAAAGCTTTTTTTTGTGCCTAAAAAAGATCGCCTACAAAATTCACTTGCAGTTTTTTGGCCTTTTTTCAAGGACTTTGAATTGTGGAAACAGTTTTGGCTTACAGAATGAACTTTTTTAAAATCAAAGCACGCGATGCCCTGCATCTTTACATGCTCTATCGAATGGTAAAAAAAATTTTCGAAAAACATAGTTAAAGGCAAAATAACTAGGATGGAGAATGGATCATTTTTAACCAGTGTTCAGTTTATAACTTCCTTAAACTTGAATATTTCGAACTGAAATTTTTATCGTAGAGTACCCGCCCCAGTCCTAACATATGTTGAAAATTTCAGTCGATTTGGACTTTCTTTGGCGAAAATCGACTTTTGAGGGAGGGGGTGGCCTTAAACGCACAACAAGAGTGAAGAATGATCATTTTTCGCTTAAAAATGATCGCACAAAATACAATGTCGAATACTTGGCAGAGTGATTTACTCATTTTAGAGGTAGAACACGATTTCAACATTAATTTCGAAAAACAGATGGAGAATTTTGCTGATTTCCTCAAAAATAGTAATGCTTTTATAGTAAAACTTTGCGCATCATAATGTGATTCTTTATTTCTTGTTAATACTCAAAAAAAACATCATTGAAAAAAACGTTTTTCAAGTTGAATACATTGTTGTATTCTTATTCTATGAAAAGGAAGTTATTCGCATTACCAGACATAACTTTTTGGAAAAACGTTAGGACTCAGCCCAACCACCCGATAAATCCTAGTTATGCCACTATCCTCAAGGTCTTCGTTTCAGCTCATAATCTATATACTATGGGTTAAACAGTACATTAAAAGGACACCACAACACTAGTCGACGATCTTGTCTTCGTTTTGTCCAGGTTCTTGTTTTTCTTGAATATTCAGACAAGACTCTTCGCAAAAGGAAAGAAACAAGATTCTTGCCTGTTATTCAAAAAAAACATAATCTTGTTTGATTGATCAGATAAATAAGAATCAGGCAAGAATTACAAGATATTTCAAATTTCTTGAAATTCAGACAAGTTTCTTTTTTCTTTTCCTTTCAACGATTTGCATCCTATCTTAAAGAGAAATATCACGTGTTGTCTTGTGTATATATACTTATAAAGATACAGAAGTTTGAACATTATTTAGTTTTTTCCTAGATGATAATGAAGATGACGCTGACGAACTGTAACATATGTATTTTTTTAAATAGATAGTTTTGTTCGATTATTTTTCGTTTTCTTTTTTTTCTCAAATTGTTTTTCTCAATTTGCTTTGTACATATGAAGTTATTGTATATATTTTTTAATTCGAAATTAAAATATAATAGTACCGACACGAGGCAACAGTATGGATGCCTAAACGAAATTCATTTGTATTAGAAGAATCTTGTCAAAATGGCAAGGATTATAATAAAACAAGAATCTTGCCAGAATCGCAAGAAAACAAGAATCATGAAAGAATTGCAAGAACACGAGAATCAGACAATAAAAACAAGAATTCCCAGGAGAATGAATCCTAGCCTGGGATCCGATGAGTTCCGATCGGTTCCTATTGGAATCCGACGGAGCTCTTCGGAAGACGCAAGGAAACTATCGGATTCCTGGTTCCGGAATCGATATCGGATCCTAATATCGGAAATTGATAAAATCCGACAGCAACCGTCAATCGTAACCGGAATGCTTCGGATTTCATCGGTTCCGACAATCGGATATCATTGAAAATACGACTGTCGGATAACCAGGAATCCAACGGGATTTCGTCGGATGGTAGGACCCTATAGAATCCGATGGGATTTTGTATCGGATTGATTCACCTGGGAATATGGACAGATCGAAGTCAAGATCGTTGACTAGTGAAAGTATGAACGCAATGACTGTTGATCATTTGCTGTTCTATAATCTTATATTTTTATTCGAGATGAATTTTATGAAATAAAGAAGAATCACCTTGGTCAGTTTTTTCATACTAATCGAGTAAAACGATTAATAGCAGATGTATACATCATTTCACTTAAAATTGATATCATTTATTGAAATACATTAATCGTATACCAAGAGAACATGCTTATCTCTCTTTTTTTGCCTTGAAACGCATACATACACCTTTTTGCTTCATCTCTTTCTTTTCTACCTTTTCATTTTCGTGTCATTCTTCCGTTTGTGTATTTGCTCTCTTTACTACCATGCCAACTCAATCATCAATACTCGACATAAATGTATTGGTGACGGCGGTAAAATTCACAGGTTTTATGTTGCTACTCAGTGTTTTATTAACTTAATATCTTTTTATATTATCATCTAAACACTTCCGAAGTTACTTGTTGATTTTTGATAGTCAATCGTGAAAAGATAGAGTCTATTCCTGTTACAATCACAATATCATGGATTGGATGTTACTATACGTGGATGAATACAATAAATACAAGTATTTGTATTTATCAATAAAATCTATCAACTACTATTAATAGTAAAATTAGTACACTGTACGATGAAAGGATGGAATTCCATCTAGATCCGTGATATGATTTCCTTGATAGGCTATTGGAGGATCTAGCCAAAATGACTGAAGTGTAGGTGATGTATCTATAAGAAAATGTAACAAGAAATCAGCTTGAAGAAACGGATTTCTTCGAGCAGCAATTTGGCGTAATAGAGCTTTTGCTGAACAAACAGTCAATAAATAAGCATGAGAACATCGACTTGGATACGCTTTGTGTGTAGTTAATATTGGTTGTGCATCTCTTAGATGCTTTGTAAAAGTACTATCATATTTGCTCGAGCAACCTCCAATGAAAATGACAGGATCTTGTTTAAACCACTCCTTGGTATTTTCGTGCAAACCAATTTTTTCATCAGTGCAACTTGTCGATCCTTGTATTTTAAGTGCACTCGTACGAATAGCTGTATAAATTGTACGATCAAATTTCTCTCGAAAGTGCGGTACAAATACAGCATCATCTTCAAGAATGAGTGATAGAGAAGAGTTACGTTTAACTATATCGTGCCATATATCAATATGCTCCATTGTAATTGCGCATCGTCGTTGCTTCTTTAGATCTACTATAAAATATATTTCAATTATTCATAAAACAATATGTGAAAAAGAAATATTATTCTTACAGCTATATTTTTTCTTCAAATTAATCTTTCGATATATTTCTTCACGATTTTCTGAAGCATAACAATTATCTGGTGACCATTTGGTACGCCATTCATAATCATTGATCTGATGTTGTGTCATCATTCTTTTTATGTTTGCACGACGATCGGTTAAATTTCGTGAACCAGCGATGTAAATGTGGTCAACAAATGCAAGACCAGTAGTACTAGTTTCTGAATGGTTTGAGAAGTTAATTGACACTTTTTCTGTTCGTTTATGGCCATGAGGTGTCCAAGGAATAATATTTGCTGGAATATGTTCATTTGGCAATGGAAATTTTTTCCATTGTAAACCTGGTTTCGATCGACTATCCAACTCACCAATTGAATAGAAATCATATGCAACACCATTTACAAAATATATATCATTGCTAGTAAACACGATGTTTTGATGTAAACTGTTTAAATTGACGAGAAAATAAGGAAGAGGTCGTGTTACATAAATAATGACTGAATATAAAACAGGTACAAAATTATATCATATTATACTTATAGATTTTTACTCGTTTACTTGTATAACACAATAAAGTTAAAAGCAGTATGGCAATCATGAAAAATCTGCGTATCATTCTGTATTTATATTTCGTTTTTGTATTCATCATCGTCTGTTCGTTTTATATACGAATAAACTACACCGTTTCGGAGTAATAAATATTCTGCTCTGTATGAAAAAGATGTGTGATATAGAGAGAACGATGCAGTCATCCGAAACGAAGAATGATTGACAACGTGAGGTGTGAGTGTGTATCGAGCTACTGATATCAACTATCGTGTGATAAGTATCTATACAATTGATTAAAAACTACAGAAGATGCAGGAGAAGCTGTCGTGACTAGCTTGTACCTTTATGTACATAGAAGTTTATCATACAGGCTATTCCATTTATTTTGAAACAAAATACAAATCTTTTTCTTCTTTTACTTTTAAACAGTTATTGCAAAAGATGTTCGATATGGAATCCATGGACATCGTAAATTAATCTATAACGCTTTGCCCAACTTTCCAAAGCGTTGTCGATAATGTCTTGCTCAAGGTATTCCCACTCAACTTTTATAACATTTTTTAGTCCTTTCAGCGTTGACACTTTATGCTTTCGTACTCGTTCTTTCATAATCCTCCATATTTAATAGTCCATTGGTGCAGTCTCAGGACTCTTAGGTAACCGCTCAAGCGGCATTATAACATTAATGTTGTGTTCCTTCACATAAGAAATTGTATACTTTGCGACATGACCAGGAGCACTGTCTTGATGCAGTACCATTTTCTTTTGCATATCACCAGGAAATAAACGAGGAATATCATATTCAATAAGTGACTCTATGATGTGTTCGATATAATATTTGCTGGCTATTGTAGCCCTTTGTTCAATAAAATATACTTGAGTTTTCCCATGTGAACTGACACCAGCCCAAACCATTACAGCTACAGGATGTAAATCGTTCTGTTCAATTTTTTTTATTTCTGCTGGTAGTTGATTACTTCTAACATAGTATATATCTCTTGTACCTTGACTCGCATCGAGATAAAGCCATGATTCATCAGTAGTTAGATAATTCTTATACTTTACATTTGATAGTATTCGGTACATACGCCAAGCTCGAGATCGTCTCTTTTCAATAATAGCTGGATAAAGTCGATGTACTGGCCTTTTTGACGACATCTTGCATGAATAATATCGCGAATAGTACGAAACGTGGTACCAACACTAATGTGACACCTTGCAGCCATTAAAGAAACGGTTGGAGGATTTTCTTGATTAATGTATGATGTAATACGACGAACTGCGGAAGGTGTTGCTATATGACGACGATGATGAAGCTTTGACTTTTCACTATTAAATAAGAATACTTGCTGTTGTTTTCCAACCTTATTAGCAATACGACTGATAGTGCTTTTTGATACATTCAAATTCATTCGTGCTAATTCTTGCTGGATCACATAGTATGAATATGTTTTCGTCAAAAGATATTTGGCGATACCTTCGATATTATCCGATATTTTATTTCGAGGCATTCTTTTATCTAAAATATAAATATCATTAGAACATATCTAGCGTTAGTACACTCAAAAAAAGGTTCCACGCGGAACTTAATTTGCAACGAAATCGAAACCTTCTTAGAGGTTTCGCATGGACCTAATATGCTTTCAAAAGACTTATAAAGAGTCTTGGATACTTTTTTAAGGTTTCGATGAAAGTCTACAAAACCTTCAAAAGGTTTAGATTTCGTTGCGAATCTCGAAACCTTTTTTAAATTCCGTAGTACGCACGAAACCATTTTTGGCACTAAAAGGTTCCGCATGGAACCTTCTTTTTTCAATGTACATATAATAAATTGAAGAATATGGGATAAGCATATCATTGAGTGTAATATGGTAAATTATAATTCAATATATCGACAGGGTACATGTCGGTCATTGACTGAAATCGAATAAAGATTGAATTGGTTGGCGACGGGCCCGATTGGCTATAGATTGGATCTAATTTGCTTAGATCAATATAAAAAGAACACGTTGGACCGCATGGGAGAGCGAAAATTGGTCGAAAATTTTGTAATAGAAGAACAAAAGCTTTTTTTTTAAAGCAGCCCGAACTTTGTAGTGTAAAGGTGAAACTAGCACTAACTACATTGTCATGTTAATCTTAGAGGGAAATAGTGATTCTGACAAATAAATTAGGCATGCATAATAAACGAAAATAGTTTAGAACTTAGGAAGAAGACCTTCTAACTATTTTAGTAACATTGCCTGTTTTGAGAACACGGTGACCACCTCATCCTCACCCACACCCACACCCTCAAGATACACTTCGGACTTATAGTTTCCGTTAAAGAAAAAGTTTTTGTTCTTCTATTACAAAATTTTCGACCAATTTTCGTATCGACCAATTGTCGGCGACCAATTTTCGTAGACCCCGAAATACTTCTCAACGTGCTAAACAAAGACTTCAACTGTCCAATCAAGCATGTGATTCCGATTTGTGCGATGAAGGTAATTAAATCGTTTATAGGAGCAGCTTGTATAAGCACTGCTTGTATTCTTTCAATAATTCAAGCATTTTTTGTTTCATCGCTGTTACTTCTTGATATTTAGCTGATGCTCCAAATGATGATAGTATGTTAAGTCAATTTTACTTCCACAATAAGTTTGAGCAGTTAAAAACCGGTAAGTGCTTTTTCTCATTTGCATGCTACACTATTATTTCCTTATAATAGATTTGGTACAACGAACCGAACAACAACACTAGCAGGTGACGTTAAAACACAATTTACCGGAATCAATAAACAGCCTCGCTATTTATCTAAAGCTGTACATGACCAGTCGGTAAGTAAATCTTTACTGTACTCCTCATCTTTGCGTATAGATCATTATATCGTCTAGCTAGATCCAAATCTCGCACCTTATCAAAATTTAGCACAGAAATTTCCAAGACAGTGGCGAGTATTGAATTTTATTCGATTCCGCAATATCAATGATCGTTACAATCACTAGATATTTCGAGGCCTCAATTTATTAACTATTGCACAAACCGCCAATTCCAAGAAATATGCACGCATAATACTAAAAACTCTTTTTACATCTGATGAATTAAGCGATTCTATATTGTTTGCAAACCCCAACTACACACGGCCAGGACTCGACCCAAAACGAATGGCTACATTTACAGGTATCACAAATAACAATATAGAAACTCACTGCTCACTACCTTTATCTCTTTTATATTCACTATAATAACAATTCACCTCTAACCACTTTTCAAATCATACTCTTATAAATTCTTCTTCATGTCTCTCCCGACACCATATACTATCTATCCTATTTTCAACTCCATACTGTTAATCAAAAAATGCACAACCATTATAAACCAATTATTCGAACACATCATATCTTCACTATTTAGTTATATCCTATTTTCAACAAAGACATCCTTCAAAGTGATCTAGCCTTTCTTCATTACTCACTACAAAAATTATACACCTATTGTTACATTCTTTTTCATCACCTTCATATATCTCTACCCGCCATAATATCAACATACAGAAACATAGCTGCGAACCTTCAATTTTTCTCTCATTCAGTTTATCAACTCGATTAATAGTCATCTCTATTATTCCATCTCTCTGCTTACGTTCTATATTCACTTCTACCACATGTGCAACATGCTCTCACAGCTCCCATTTTTCGCTCGTTTCTCACTCTAACGATTAAGTTGCGCACTACTCTTTAACTACCTTAGCAATTTCTACAACAAAATATTTCCATAACTAACAAAACTCTTATTTTATTCAAATAACTTTCCTTCACTTAAACTATATCATCAAGCACATCTTTCGATTCTTTTCCTTACCCTAATCCACTCTCCCCCGACGACTCCCCGGGGAGTCCCCGCAAAATAACAAAATCCCTGGGGAGTCCCTGCCGTGAGTCCCCGGGGACTTTTTATTTGGGGGACTCCCCGTGGATTTCTCTGGGGAGAATTGGTGAAGTTTTTTAAAATTCAAAAAAAAACTTTTTAATTTTTTAAATTTTAAAAAATTTAGAAGAATTTATTAGTAATTAGATATTTCATCGATTTTGGTCATATAACTCACCGGGGAGTCCCCATAAAAGAACGAAATCCCTAGGGACTCCCTGTCGTGAGTCCCCGCGGATTTGTCAGGGGACTCCCTGGGGATTCTTCTAGAGAGAGTTGACTAGGGTATTCAAAAGTAGAAAAAGGAAATTTTCCGTTATTCTATTTTTCATTTTTCTGACGATAATAATAGGTCTTCAAAACTTTTCCTCAGAAATACATGTGAAAAAATTCGGTAACTCTTCTAACTCTTAATATATATCATTAGTCATAGGTTTTTTTCTTCTAATGTTTTGAAATGAATGAGTCAGCCTACGCCTTTTTTCTAGTGACAATAATCATTTGTTGCGTTCTTTTCATGAGAAGCACATGATTCCCGTGAAGTATTTCTTCTCATTATTGATATATCCGCAATAAATCATAGTTTCTTCTTCTCAAGTTTTGAAATACATAAGTCAACTTATGTATTTTTTCTAAGGATAGTAATATTTTTTCATTAGAAATATGTGATTAAAGTTCGATATTTCTTGTAACTGTCAATATCTATGATTAGTCATAGATTGGTTTTCTTCTAGTGTTTTGAAATACAAAAGGATCTGTATTTGTTTTTCATGTGAGTAGATTGTTATTGGCATATTTTGTTTTCGAGAGAAGAATTTTAATCTGTTGATTTTGAATTGTGATTTTTTTAATTTTAGATGCGATCTGTGCGCGTTTTAAGATAGATCCGGATTATTTTACTGAGTTCTTCCGAACTTGCTTGCGACGCACGTTGCCCCAAACGATATGCGACGTTCGGCGTACACGTCGTAGGAGTGCTGTCCGGGTGATCGCTGGTGGTAATGTGGATGGAAATCGTGGTAATGGATATTTTGGCAATATTGGTGTTGCGAATGCTGCTGCGTCTCCTTTTCAGTCTACTTCGCATAGTTTAACGGGTGATGATCCATAAGGTGAAATTTTTGCTAAGTAATTTTTTTCATAAATTTTTTTTTCTAACGATGTTTTTGTTTTAGGTCGTTGGTGGCATCTGGTTTTCAGGGATATTTTTTTATTAACTTTTCGTTATTTTGTGGTTACCCTCTTTTGTTGTATTTCGCTTGATTTGTTTTTCGTGTTTTCTCATATTTTCTCTTGGCTGATGCGTTGTTGGTCTCGCTTTTGTAGAGTTAATTAAAGCTGTTTTTGTTTTGATGTATTTCATATATCGTTAGCTAGGGCATCTTTGACCGTTTGACCGCTTTTTAACATTTTTTTCGAAGTTTTGTGTGACATGATTGAAAAGAATTTGAAAGACTTCTTTTCCGGTGTTGTGTTTTATGTCTCTTTATATGTGAGGAGTGCGATAAGTTCTTCTCACGCTTGAATCGTTCATTTCTGTTTTTATTGACAACCGATAATCGAGAAATGTGTTTCTCTGTTGTCTTCTATTCAATTACCGTTTTTTTTGTTATTGTCTATTTTTGTTATGCACTTGGGCAATATGAAACCTGTTTTCTCATTTTATCTCGATTTTTTCGCTAATAAAAACTTCTAAAATTCATGATGTGCAGGAACTTTACAAATAAAAACTCTTTTACAGGGTAAACTGAAATGAACTAAATCATTTGTTGCAAAGGACACAGATTTTAAATATATCTTTTTGCTGGTTTTGTTGAAATCTTACAGACTGAGCATGAGCATACACGAGCCCGTTGATGGGCCGCATACGATTCTTTCTTTACGACTTACTGTGAGATTTCATAAACCACGATTTTTCGTACGCCCAGGTCGAGCAATCATATTGCATGATCTTATCAGATCTTGCATCTGATCTTACACGATCTTGCACGATTATACGAAAATTATACAAAAAATCGTAGTGCCTGAGATCTTAGATCAGGTCAAACAATCAGATTCTTCAAAGATCGTAGTAATGTGTAAAATCTTTCAAGAATCTGATTGGGCGAATTGATCTAAGAATCTCAGGAACTACGATTTTTTGTCAGATTCTCGTAAGATTTCGCCCGCATTCCAAGATCTTGTGTCAGATTTTTCGAATTGGGCGATTTTCTGTTGGATCCTACTCGATCAGATACGATATTGATGTACTATCGGACATGATCGGACAAGATTCTTTATCTGTTCTGACTCTCTGATTGCTCGTCCTGAGGTCGACAACTCCTTCAAAAAACATCCGAGTTCTCAGATCCGGTACACGTAGGGAGCCGAATGGACTTCGACAATCGGGTTTCATCGGAATCATGTCGGATACAATCATCGAATTTGAACACACCCAGTAGAATCCGATTGCCGACTTTTGATTTGGGTAAGTAATAATTTATGGCAACGATATCAATGTATCAGCAATCTACCAGCCAGTGATAGAGTTGAGTACGGATGTGCTCAAGAAAATAGTTTTTTGGGTGGGGATATGGCTGTGAATAGCCCTTAAATTTAATATGACTCATGCTATACAAAAGTCACACCCACACCAACACTCTCAAGGCATAACGTATATTGTAATATTATATATTTATCAGCAAATGGTTTCTTGTTACATTGCATATAAATAGAATATATTTGAAAAATGAAATTAAAAAAAGCCAAAAAAAAATTCTAATTAATGCGGACGTCTTATTTTAAATACATGCGAAAGCTTATCCAGTGCATCATGTGAAAAATTTTTTCTCAATCGGGATGCTGTTGGACTTGTTCCTTGACCGGTTGAACTATTATGAATTTGATGATCCACATGAATACTGCGACAATTACTTGATGTTACATGTTGTCCAGTAGTAATTATCATAAGAAATAAACTTTTTATTTCTTCAGTATCAACACGATTTGCTATTGTTTCATCAAGTGTTTCGTCATAAATTTTTGAATATTCTAATTTAATTTCAGATAAATCCTTATATTCATGACCAATAATAATCCTTGTTAATGTTATATAATCAATTGGGCTTTTATCTAATGTTTGCCGAAGAATTTTAGCATAATAAACACCTGGTGATCGTGTATACTCAATCATATCTTGAAAACATTCGGCTTCAATTTTACCTTGAAATTCACGTTCGATTGCTTCTTGTATTGGTCGTCCATATTTATCTTCATAGATATCAAATATTGCTGATAATTGTGAAAAAGGATCACGCGTAACAATGTTTATAAATGTATCATAATCAATGCCAGGTTTACCTTCACCAGATTCATATAATTTTTGAGCAATTAATTTTGCAGTTGATACTGACTGATCAGGTACTTCCAAACGTTGTCCTGCAAGTAGTTCAATAAGTAATTGGGATAGAATACTTTTTTCATCTTCAACGCTTTCAATATATTTTTCAACAGAAATTTTAAATAAATTTGTATATGTTGCTTTGAATACTTTTGTATCATCATTACTTAATGCCAATAAGATTTCCACTAGTTTTTTTGATATATCAATATTACTTTTATCGGTTTGCTTCAATGTAAGTAAATCATGAAAATTACGTACATACAATTCAATTGGTTCAATTAGCATGGCTGATGTACATGAACGCAGGGGAGATTCAGGCTGTTGAAGTACCATATCAATAAGATTATACTTATATTCATATTCAATACCATGAACAAGTACCATACGCTGTTTACAAGTATACAACGACAGAAACTGAAGAATACTCCTTAAATCTATTGTATTAGTTGTGTTACACTGTTGCAATATTTTCGACAAATATTTTGCATCACGTTTATAATCGAATGTGTTCGAATGACCAAATAAAGGAGCACTTGATATTCGCTAGTAAAAAGTGAAACTGAGACATGTTTGTTCGATTAAAAGAAATATTTGATAATACTTACTGGTAAACGTTTCTCAGGTTTATTAGAATTGCTATCAAATACTTTCTTCATATTTGTACTGTTTGTACTTTAGCACGAATAACTAAATAACAAATGAAAATGGTAATAAAAATAAAGATAAATTTTTTCGGTGCGCATATTAAGTAGAAATACTTTTCGATCAAGAAAAATTGAAAGAAAGATGGAGGATGAAAAAGAAATAAACAAACTTGTCATTAGTTATGGTTGGCCAATTTTTCATACGACAAAAATGCAATTAAAGTGCCTGCAAATTATGATGATAACAAAATAAATGCGTCTATAGATGTTTATTTGAATATGGGTATCTTTTTCCTTCTAAACCGAACCTACAATTACACTCTCGAAAAGTGTCTTTGTAGTAGCCAAACGAAAGTTGGGAAAAGTATTTTCTATCTTCGTCGACACCCACAGCCACATTTATGTACTTTTTCTTTGGGTGTTCGAACAGAGTAAACAGAGTTCGTGAAGAGATAAAAAGGGTAGGTTATTCTAGTCAAGTATCGAGTAAATAATGCTTTTGTTGTAGTCAGATATTTCAGTGCCAAAAAATGACAGCAGTAGTTGTGTGAGTTCATGAGCACGTTAGAACAAAGCTATTGCTTCATACTGCTACGGTAACAGAATCGAGTAATGCCTGACACGCAAGTTGACATCGACCAAGTCATTCAACGACATCTAACAAAATAATTGTAGCGTACCGTGAATCATCACAGAGGTATGTCATAGCAACAGAATGTTTCGATGACGCTCTAATAGCAACAATGTGACTGATGTCAAAACTGATGAAATTTTGCTTGCGTATGAATACGAGTCAATGATGTAGAACGTTTGGAATGAAAAGTAACACGAAGCCTAAAGAGCCACAGTAGGATGTTTCTTGATACGATAACGAATAGTATCTAAATTTCAGCTTTCGATAGTCCTCTGGATGCATAGTTCGGTACAGCGGATCTCAAAATCATGTGCAAAGTTTTTATTTCAAAGTATTATATTGTAATCCGTTCGTCAAACCCAGTATGATAAATACATATACACCGCTTACACTTCAAATCAGACGAGTGACATTGCTAACGCTGAGCTTCGTTTTGGCTTTTTCTTAGTTTGTCTTTGTCGACAACATACTAAGCGTATATGTCTAAATACTTCTTCTTTTATGTTACTTAGATAGGACAAATTTGTATTTTCATTCCACGATCAAATTAACATGTTTTGAAGAACATACGAAAACGAAAAAAATGAACCCTTCAGATCCGTGAAGTTTCTTTCTATCGGGAGACTCGTAATTTTGCGAAATATCTTACATAGAATAATTTCCTAAAACTACCTAAACCATCAAATGGAAGAGAATCCTATTTTTGTAGAGTGTACAAAAGTAATTAAACGAACTGACCGTTATTGGCATTATCTTCTACGACAAAATCCAAAATGAGTGACATCCCTGAAGGACATAAAAGTACACCCACACCCTCATGTATCAGTGATTAAAGGAAGTACTGAAGGTAATGTATTTTTTCTCCCATCATAACTATACTATTTATTCGTCACTCGTTTCCTGCAGGAGCATATCGTTGTGAAATTCTAGGCCGAGAATTCATGTTTAGTGATCAAATAGAAATAGTTATAGGCGGTCTATATGGTCACAATATTGCAGAAGTAAAGTGTTGCTTTATTTACTAGGGTTCATCTATACTGAGAGATATTTTTTGCAGCACGCACATTTTTATGTTGACCATAAGCGCGTGAATCGTCAGTCCTTATTAGACGATCATCAAGGAAAAGATGTTCATGTTTATTATGCTGATCATATTCACGATGCGAGCAGGTAGCTTCTTTTTAGAGCCATACTTCGACACAGTCTCATTCTCTGTTGTTAAATTTTAGACTTGGTTCATTTTCTGTTCCTGTACTTGAACACCACCAAACGCTTCGACACCACGAAACTGGTGTGATACATTGAAATCACACGAACAACAAATAACAACATATTACTTCATGTCTCAATTTTTTATCCAGTAGTTTCTAGTCGTTTTGATGGAATGTGATTTGCTCATCGTTGTTTCTACCTTAATCTCATTTTTCGTTTTGTCTGTCTTTAAAATACATTCGTATATTCACGATATCATACATGTTGTTGTTACTTTGACTTTTTAAAAACACTATCTTGATGATGTGGGTGCGTGAGTATTGATACAAACAACTTGCTCAATAATAGTTAAGTATAAAATATATAATAAGATTTCCCCCTCTACGTAGAGGTAGCCAAGTAAGCTATCCAATAGTAAGTATTTTTATGATTCATTTGTTCGCTTAGATTTGTACCAACATTTTATTTCACCGATGCAAAGATATAGGTTTCGGCCTATAGTAAGTTTTCTTAATCCTTCAGAAGGGTTTATGAAAATTTCATTGTAAAACCTGTTTTCCGTCTAGATTGAACGCATTTTTGAAGCATAAAAAAGGTTAGACATAGAACCAGATTTCGCTAGAATCTTAAAAGCTCTTCAAAATAGTACCCACATATCGAATCCTAAAACGTTCAGTGCCTCACTTATTTTTAGAGTATGATTATTTGGATTCTTCTTCTATAAACTCAGCTATGATAAGTGCTTCTTGTTGTGTACTCAAAAAAGTGAGTGCACTTTAGAATCGATCAGTGTGTCCGGCCGGCCGGCCGTCCGTTTACACGATAACTCTCGAAAGGAGAGTTAGATCATGATGAAATTTTCTACACAGTTCAGCCTCATTAATGTCTCAGTCGAGTTCGAAGATGAGAAGGATCCGCCAAGAAATGGTTGAGTTATCGAAAAAATTGTCATTATTGACCAATCCAACTCTGAGGGGGGGGGGTACAGGGATTTTTTCAAAAAACAAAATTTTCTTAGAATTATTCACAACACATATAAATCGACTCAGTTTTTAACGCTGATTCCGAATCTGATATTAATTTTGAACCAAATCGTAGCTTTCTAACAAAATATCGCCTGAAAAAGATCTAAAAAATGCACAAAAACTGCATCCAGGAACCAAATTGGCTAAATATATTTCAGATGACCAGTAGCTTTGGGGTTTCTCAAATGCCTGGTTTTGTAGCTAGTCAAAAGGACTATCGAAAGGTAAAAACCCGAACTCGATAGCTATTAATATTGGTGATTTGTTAGGAGAATACTGATGCCTGTATCTATCATATATCGCTTATAGATTCATGAGGTTCCTTACAATCGTAATCCCGCTAGATACAAGCGCTAATCCATTCAAAAATAACTCTTCTTGCCCAGTTTTCCAAGCTAAACACGAATCTGAACTTAATTTCTGTGATTTCTAAAGATATTATATCACTCTAAGAGTAGAGTCAGTGGTCACCGGATATGGTCGCAAACAGTGTGGTCCATGCTAACTTAGCACACCTGTATTTTCTCGCAATTTAGTGGCAAGGGATTATCTTGATGAGATCTGTCTTATAGAAAGAAAAAAGTGAATATACCTTTTCACTTTTTGAAGTACACATAACACTCGGATTTAAATCCGAGGTTTTCGCATTTATTTTAAACATGAAGATAGAAAGGAGAATTAAGTAAATATAATACTAGTTGATGTAAAAGCAGAAATGTTCATTCAATACTTTTCTCGTAGCGATAATATATAGAGGAAAAAAACTACGATCCTCTACTGAGGTATTTACACTAGCGATACACGAGTTGTCATTCGAGGAAGAGCTATAAGGAGACACCAAGGAAAAGGAGCACAACAAACATCAACTTTCATTTCATCTTTTCGTTTGGTATTTTCATTGATTATGCTTAATCGATGTTCATCACCATTCAATGTAATTGTATATACATGTCCGTCCTTTCGTTGTCTAGAAGTTGCACTGTTTCCTCCACAGGTGTATAAATTTGCACAAATTTCTCATCGGCCACTGTATTAACAATGGTAGACTTCGCTGGTGGTGGATCAGCGAAAGCCATACAGTTCCTCTGTATATAATAGGAAACACAGCCAACAACAAAATACACGAGCGCTTGTAGGTATTTTTTTCTCATTTTTTTTAAGTATGTTCCATTTCATTCGTGCCATTCATCTTTCTTTTGTAATTTTTTTTCGAACGCTGACGGTAGACAAGATGACGATAACGTTTAAAAACCAAAAAAAAACTGCAGAGCCAGTGATGAGGAATCCACGTGCATTGTATTGAAAAAGTGTGGGGTACTGAAAGCAAAAATTGCACATATCTAAAATTTTTCATTGGCGCGCATACTCAATTTGTTCATGAATTACTTGTTGACTTTTAGGTTAGTTTGTACAGCATGCTTAGATCTGTTTTTTGCATACCAAAATACAAAATTATCGATCGTATCAAATGGGCGGAGCTCTTTTCAGAATATTGGCAAAGTTTTATACAAAAGTTTGAAATAGAAATGTTGAGTAAGAAAATTTTTTAAAAGCATAAATTATCTCTTAACAGTGGCCTTGGTCGAAATTTAAGCAATTTATTTCAAAGAAAGCACCATTTCGAAAAAGATCAGCGCGCAATGACTATATTATCAATCAAAAATTGTGCATTCGTTTCATTTATAACGAATTCTAAGCCAGCAAAGGCAGATGTCAGTGGAAATGACACTGTCTGAACGGCAGTTACGTATTCTGTTGACCCTAGTTTATATGTATGCTTGCTAAGAGCAGGAAGTACGTGTACTACATGAGAATCAAACGTTTCATTTTCATACCAAAGCAATACTGTTAAATTATTGACTAATCCTTCAGGCGTACGACCAATCATAAATCTTACACTAGATCCATTGACTGGATTTTGCAAATTGATTGCATATTTTCCAATTAAATCTTTCATTGGTTGCAAAATTAACATTGCCGAACGATAAACCTCAACATAAACAGAACCCCACAACAATAAATTCGTTGCATTGATTTTCGATCCAGCAATTGTTCCAATGGTCACATCATAATTTTCAAAATCGGCAATGATAATTTCTTTTGAATCTTGAAATGTTGATATATAGTTCGTATGAGGTAAATAGCGGAGTCCCGAACGATAATCTTCAAATAGTATGCAATATTGTGTTTGATTTTTTAAAACAATATTCATTAAAGCAGCCATATACATTTTACAAATATGTTGTTGCTCTTCGGCTTTCATTAGTGGACGAACATTGATGAATTGATTTACTCCCGGAATCAGATCATACCGCCCCCATTTTGTATTAAATTGTCCATGATTAGCTTGATGTACGTAAAGTGATGCTTTGAAATTATAGATGCTACTGTTCGATGTAAATCGTAGACTCTTTAATTTACCTTGGAATGAAAACGACAATAGATCAGCATCATAAATTCCATGAATGCCAAACATCGTTACATCATGCGATTCGAGACTGTATCCTAACGGCGTATAACCATCGTCTGTACCGCTGATAGAAAATAATGCTTTTATTTCGAAGTTGTAATTACTCAATGAAATACTGCCTGGATAATCAGGTAAAAATTTTAATTTATTTAACACATAAGCGATAGCAATAGTTTCACCACCACGTGAATGACCCATCAAACCAATATTGGATAAATCTAGTTGGTTGTAGAATTGGTTTTTTTCTTGTGTATTCCATAAACGTAATTGTTTTAATGTTTCCAATAGAATGAGTGCTCGTGCGATAAACTCCGGTCGTCGACTGAAACTAACATCATACTTTTTTATTTTCGACATTTGACCATATTCAGTTGAAGAATAAAATGGAGCAAGATTTAGAAAATTTTGATCCACTGAAACAGTGAAAAAGCCTTGACTAGCGAGCATTGTACTCAAATATTCGTAACCATTTTCACTCGATCCCGTAGACATATGATTACCGTGTACCATTAGAACAATGGGATATGGACCGCTACTAGTATTAGCTGGGTACCATATTCTACCGTTCAATGGAAGAGTCGATTCATCAAATTGAAAATTTTGTTTATTAAATGTTGATAAAGTAATTATTGAAGATAAATCAATGGTTGGTGTTATAATTGATGCTTTCGAGCCATAGTCAATTCGATTGTCCATTCCACTTCCGTATGTAAGAAATCCATACGAGTAGTTCCCATTTAGCGATGGGTCATGAGTTAGATTATGTGGAAATCTCTCTGTTGGTGTTATAACGTTTATTTTCGTAGCATAACCATCATTCAAATAGTACCATAGTATAAGACTGACTACAACACATCCGATAATAGCTAGAGCAGCGAAAAGAATTTTCAATCTTTTTGTGTCATAAAAAATAGCTGCAGCAATACCACCAATAAAAATAACATGACTCAATGCCAGTGCAAGTCCAAGCCCGAAACCGACAGGTCCAGAACCTGTTCGCATGGCTACTGTTAACATAAATAACGCGCACGTTAAAAAGCTTCCAACAAAAAATGAGACCGTTCCATAAGATAACTGTTGGTGAATTGAAGAACTTTTTTTCCAGAAGAAAACAATTGTAATAATTAAGATATACATTACAAATGATATTATCCAAATAACAGTTGACATATAGATAAGAAATACAACAAAATTTGCGAATGAACCGTAGCCTAAATCAAGTGGCGACATCACTGATGCTGATAATAGAAGTGTTAAGACTGTTAAACCAGTACTTGTTAGATTGACAATATTATCTAACACACTCTTTTTATTCGATTTTAATGATTCCATGTTTCTCTTCTTCGATCTTTGCCATAATTGCACAGAAAAGATGCTTGTAGCACAAAAAATTGCAACTGTACTTATGATAATTAACAGTAATAATTGTAAAGTTAGTTTACGCATAATTGCGAGAACTGTTATCATTAATACTAACGTTAAACAGCAAATTCCAACCCAAAGAATATTTTTAATCATTGGTGACAATTTTTTTCTAGCTGTACGTTCGTCATCGTCAATATTCACTTCTATTAGTTTATTCAACATGATAAAACAACGCAATTACTTGTTGAACAAGAAACTTCTCTTGATCTACTAGAAACAAAATTATATAGAATCAAAGAAGATTTCATGAAATCTAAGAACACGATGACAATTTAGAAATTATTTTATGAATCTTTTGATTAGGACACAACAGCTATCAGGACTTCTCAGATGTTCTGTATTAATTACATTTGCTATCATAGAAAACAATACAAAAGGTAATAGGAATAATTCTCTTTCATGAGGAGCTGAACCATTCATCTTTTGCTTTCCGTACAGCTGTACCAGCACTATAAGAAATCGGTATCTTAAGAAACCGTTGATTTTAGTAGGAAGAGATGCGATGCTCAGATTTTCTAAATCCTTTTTTTTATAAAGACAATCGTTCAAGGAAACGCTCAGTGTAAATGGTAAAAGCTACAAAACATAATATATGCTGGTTAATGCTAATAAACGGAGCGAAAAATCATTGCCATTTATTAAAACAACAAGGACCAGTTAGAAAATAAATTTTAAAAATTGCACTAAATCATTAATCAATCATAATAAGCAGATGATAAGCTCAATAGATATTTTTAATAAACTTAATTTTTATTTCGTCCTCGTTTAATAGTCTTACAAGAGGAATCCATGTGTACTTCATCGCGAATGCACATAACAAAAAGCAGTGAAATCAGCTAAGAAACGAATTTCAACGGAACTCTATCGAATGCGCACCTCTTTGTAAATAATTATAATTATTGAGGTGACCAAATCTGCAGAAAAGTAACTTGCTAACATGCGCAAATGATTTATTCACTTCTTAAGATTTTATCGCGATCTCAAAATGAGAGCAAAGCTTTTCTCTGTTATCCAGCGAATGTAGTATCTTACACGAATGAATTATTTGTTGGTATTCTATCATTTTATGATTCTTCATTCGTTGATTTAATATAAAGTAGAATTCTCAGCAAAATTCTAATCTTTCGAAATGAAAATAAATCACTTTTACTTTCTAGATTGCATTTCTACATTTCCGATAAAATTCCATAATACAGTTTTACGCATTTTTTATTTAATTTACTTGATACGAAATTTTTTATATTCGAATTTTGACTTTAGGATCACATGATCGCGCACAGTAGTACGATATCTATGCTCCACAGTATTTGCAAAAATTGAGGGTTCGTTATTTATTAATCATATTTGAGTTTCTAACGATGAATTTAATAATATACTAATTTGATAGCTGTCAAAATACGTTCTAAGGCGAAAAGGAAACGGTTCATTGAACTCAGCTTTCGTCTCTACGTGAATAAAATCGAATTTCTATCTAAAATTAAATACTTACTATAAATAGAAAAAAAGTAGAAGATCCTATTTTTGATATGTACTACTGAAGAAACCAATACATCATTTCGTAGATAGTGTGTGCCGTGAATGAAAGAAAGGAAAATGAGGAACCTCTGGCAAAGCTTCAGTGTTTTTGCAAGGTCATTACTAAATGACTGATTGTCGTAGATAACAAATATTTGTATTCTGATGTGTTCTTGGCAAATAATATCGAGTTGATTCATAGAATGAGTAACACAGGTATCCCTATATTTTGAGTAGTAGACTATGCATTTAGATGAAATTGTTTTTCTTTTACCTCCTGGAAATTATTTTGATTCGAAAGCTTAATAGAACCAAGTGCTTTTTAGATCAACGATAAACAATGACAAAAAATGTAGGAGAATAACTGAAAAAACCGCTACCGTCAATGTGGTTTAGAAATGACGCGTTCTTTCATGAGTAATCATACACTATATCAAAAACTATTTCATCGTTAGACAGCAAGTGTTTTTGGTCCTCTTAAATACAAGTCCACCGCTCCATTTTTTTTGTATTCTCTTTTTATATGGTTACCCAATCAAGACAGCCACTATGCGTTCGCTTATTCTTCTTTCTCCCACGGATGTAGGTGTGGGTACCATGTGAAATCATCGATAGCTACACCCAATAATTGTTAACAACTTCCTTGCACTATGCTCTACGAATTGAAAAGAGGAATAGTATTTCTTTTTCCCGACGCAGCAAACATTGATTTGAACGAGAATGTCAACGAGATGACTGAAAATAGAGAGATCCCGATGAGTAAAGGCGAAAAATATGGCAGCTAGTAAAACAGAAAAATCGATGATATCAGAGAATGTTTTTTCTCGTTCTCTCCATACCACAAGATAAAGTTTTAAGCCAAATAAGAGTGATATAAATAGTGGAATGATGTACATCCGAAAATCAAAATTTAAAATTTTTGAGGATTTCAAACAAATGTGCACCGCGCAACTGCCAAATACAAGAAAGTAAAAAGATTGATAAGCATTTTGCGCGTAAAAATAAATAATTCAGTACAAATTTTAGACATACGAATCTTCGATGGAATTTCTAGTTACGCATCAATTGTTAGATGCTTTCGACTCACGCTCATCACATGGGACTTCTGCTTTGATAACGATCGGCAATGGTGTTACGTATTGTATCACTCAAAAACGGCTAGATGAATTGCTAAAAGACGTCGAGCAACTCAATATCTACGAAAACGACCTTGGTCCCCTGTATGAACAAATTGAGAACGCTGAAGACTGGATGGATGGCAAATAGTAGAAATGCGTAATTTAGAAGCGCACCGACTATCTTCTATGCCTCAGCATATAATAGGATCCCCTGACCTATACTCGTATGTATTCACGCCTAGGTTATATGTAGTCAGAAACTATCAATTATCACAAAACATGAAAAAAAACTTATAATGGTTCACCTATTATGAATACATGATTCAATGATTTATTTATTATAACAAACAAACAATAAACACTGGCATCTTTTATGCAAAAAATTAAATTATTTTTCTTACCTTGTTAGTCTCTTCGAGACTACAGAGGTAGTATACGTGATTTCTGCTGACATAACGCAGCTCACCAGCGATTATGATGTTCTTATAGTACCTGGTGGAATCGCAGCACTCTATCAGAAGCTTTTGGAGCTTTGTGCTGGTGCATATCTTGCTTCAACGAATAATGTCACTGACACAAAGAATATCGGTACTGGTCTACTTCCAGTTCGATACTCTCTTTATGAACGTAGTGCGAACATTCCAACAAATATAGCACTGAATGATGCTAAAAGAAATGTAATTTATACGACAACCTATCATAATGGCGCTGTCTACAAGTTTGATCAGCTGTCAACTAACGTGACAACATTATCAACAATTACTGATGCTTTTGATTTACCTCACTTTATCTGGCTTTTTATGACGTGGTTTTATTTTACAAAAATCAAGCAAAATGAAATAAAATATCTATACGTATCTGAACTACGTATAGTATATAATTTTTCGGGGTGGGAATACTATACTGTTCTCGTACTTACAAGAGAAAAACCCCTAATGGATTATCTATATAAATATTGGGTGAAAATGATAAAACATCTACGCCCAACTTCTGAGGCCCTTGATTACCAACAATCGTGGGAAGCATATGTTATTGCGACATCTACAAATCGAATATACTATAAATCTATGGGATTTAGAAAAAACAGTATTTTTCCTAATCGTTTGGTAGCAATTACTTTCTTCTGTATACATGAAAAACAATATGAATTTTTAAAAGATCCTCCTCAGTGTTAGAAAGATTCGTATATAAGTATTTACACCCTCCATAATATAGTATCCAAATCGTAATCGTAATCGTAATTGAAATTGTGATAATTAGTTATACTTGATCTTGATTCTTACTAACTATCCCCACACATCTATACTTGGCATATGCATTCCTTTTTTTCTTTTTCTTTATCATTCTTTAGTATCTTGATAAGCAAGAGAAAAGAGAAAATCGCTGTTTGTCTTTATTTATATTCTCTTAACTGTGCCAGTGTCTGCTAACCTTTTGCGGAACAATAAACTTTCATATTAAAAAAAAGTACTGATGCTGACAGCTTAAACAAAAAGTTCCATGACTTTCTTGTCAATAAAGTCAGCATCATTACTGGTACTTTTTTTTTAAAGAAAACGTTGTCTTGTGCGAACCACATATTGAAGTCAACATGGAATCCTGTATGTTTTCTCTAATCATGGAGCTTATTCATCAGGCAAAAGCAACAAAAGGATAACTAACATATAATGCTGGATGATATTACTTACTGATAGTATGGAAATCTCTTTTTAGATTATTAAAACATTATTTATAAGGCTATCTTAATGTTATACTTTTTAGATATGCATACGTGCACTCAACCGCATTTCCACCTAACAAAAATTTTACATGCAGCTTTATTATTTAAATTGTTAGTGAGTCTCAATTTTTTCTATTGGTCATATTCTTCACATTCTTCTAATTCAATTTCAGTTGCATTTTCAACATTCTCAGTGTATGAATATTGAACTTGTTCCATTTTTTTCACTTTGAATACAGAATATGGCATAATTAATATTTCAGCTTCATTTGCATATTGAGACATATCTTCAATATATAACGCAGTACGTCGATGCTTAATCTGGTATTTACATATTACCCATGTTTTAATTATTGTTCCATCGGCTTTACATCGTGGGTTGTCATCCGTTTCAGATTGTGCTGCTGTTACTTGTCTACATGACAATAATTCAACAACTTTTCGATCAATCGATGAAGATAGGAATGACTTAGTCATTAATAAAGTATCAACTTGATATTTTTGTATATCATCTTTATTTATTTGCATGACTCGATAAGCAGTACCAATAAACGCGTATTCCTCCAAGCTATCATGATGTGAAATAAGTGCTATAATATATCTTCGTTCGCTTTGATATTGAGTAGCACCAGCTGCTATTTCCGTATTCAAAATGCTATAGAAAGCTGTTTCAGCTGTGTAAGCTGTTATTATCCATTTTGCATTTTGCTCTTCAGTTGCCTTTCGAAAAAAACGTCTGATAGCCTTAATACTACTGATATTGGCTAGTCCTTTGTTAACATAGTTGTTTTCAATGTTTTCAAACATTTTATTGATGCGATTCCCCTTCAAAGCGTTATCGTACAATGATTTAATAAAATTTCGTTCTTCTGCCGCTTTTCCCATAACATCTTCATCAACCAGCTCCCATTCAATAGCACCAGTACACGATGCAAGTCGATTACTATTCGGTATGCGAAGAAAAAGTTCTTTGATATCATCATTTTTCGCTTCATCGTATGGTATACATCGATACTTATTCAGTATCGCCCTGTTAGCTCCTGCTTTCAGCAACAACTCTACAATTCTACTATGACCATGATAAGATGCACTATGCAATGCAGTGCTACTATTCGGTTCTATTCGATCTACTTCGTCAAGTGTCATGCCTTGAAGTAACTTTTTAGCTTCCTCAAAGTTGTTTTGACGACATGCCAAGTAAAAATCGCTAAATACATTCGATGGACTACCTGCTTCTGTTGTTGTCACTGATGCTGATACTTGCTTAGAATCTTGTAAAGCATTGTTAGTTGGCATTAATTTATTCGCAGAAATAGGCTCCGAATCATCCGATGGAAGAATCGTTTGTGCCGTTGTTGTTGTTGTTATCGCTGGCGCTGATACTTGGTTAGCATCTTGTAAAGTATCTTTAATTGACGCGAATCGTTCTACAGGAATGCGCTCCGGATGATCCGGTTGCGATCGCGAATAAGTTTGTTTCGCCTTCCGACGGCCAAACACATATGCAAACAATAATTTTAATGAGTTCCCCATGTCCAGACAACTAACTGGTTAATATCCAAGAGTATCAATTAACAAAAAATGAATAATTGATTCTAATAGAGAAATTTTTGTACAGAGGTATTTTTTAGAAGACGGCGTTCGGAAGAAAGCTTCTATATTCGTAATTCTGCGCCACGTATCATAAACATGTGACTAAAAAGTCAACTAAGATAAAAGCAAAGAAAAAGAACACAGTTTCTGTGAGGTTTCACTGATAAACGTTAATAATGAATATATTACAGCCATTGCATGTTGTTAAAATGAAAAAGAATTTATTTTTCTCGAGATGTAAGCATCATTATAACAGTAGTGCCTATTTCAAAAAAGAAGATGGTTGAATTTTTCGTTACGAAAATGAAAGTTTTGATCGATAACTCTTCTGCTCGACTTCATATCAAGAGAAAAGAAATATTCTTGTGCTTTAGGTGGTTGAGCCATATTGTACTACTGCCAATGCTCTAATAAAAAGCTCAGTGCACAAGTAGCACTCATTGAGAGTCAATTTGCTTCATCATCAAATTGACGGAACGACCTAAAAACGGAAACTATCATGATTTCACCTCTTTCTCTGTAACACTGTAACTATATTGTAAGTATGGCCCAAAATCTCGCATACAAGGTCTAAAGAACCAAAGGTGTCCTCCAAGTAAGTCAAACTCGGCACAAATGGTTACAGGCATAGATGAATTTTCGTTTGTCGACCCCATCTACGGCGAACATGAGTGAATTCCGGTATATTGACTCTAACTTTTGAATCTAAGGAATTAGAGTGCACCTGAATTGCATAACGTTGTGATAGACTTAATCATGACAGTTCGTAAAGAGCCTCAAGTTGAATATGCGGGCTAGTCTAATTATACTTACTATGTGAATGGAATATGTTGGGGAGCTAAAATAAGGCTTGTGGGTAGATATCATTGAATACCTATCCTAGACAAAAAAAAACATCAGTACTCAAATCAGCTTTCATTTATCGTATGACCGTACAGAAAATAACGATTTTGGTTAACTGATTATTCCTCGAGAAACAAATCAAATAAAAATTTGACTTGTGTCCCTTTACAGTGCAAATATTGTACTACACAATTATGCTCGAACTGGACCTGGACTTTGTAGAATACTCAGAAGAATTGCTTTTTGAAAATACTAAAAATGATGAGCCCTATTTCATATAAAATATACTCAAGTTCAATCAGAAATTCATTGAAAAGCTGCGATACCTGAAATAAATTCTATTCAGTAAAAGTCAGCACATGAAGTTCTATCGATCTGCATAAAACAGTCTTTCGAAAGGGACAAAAAACAATTTTGTTTCGAAATTTCTGTAGAAAGATGCGGAAATTATTGAAAAACCTTTTTCTCTCCTTTTCGAAGTACTTCTTTAACTCATCTAGTGGATAATTCTGCTCTACATTATACGACTAGAAAACTCTCTTCATATATTCGCATTTGTTTATTTTTGTTGAGAGTAACGATTCACTCACTTAGCAGACATAAAGTAGATAACCCACTGATAAAAACGCGGTTTCGATCAACACTACTTTTTTCGTGTAAACTTTCTGATCCAAAGACACCCTTTAGAGAGCTGAAATTTTCATCAGGATTATTAACGCATAAGATTGTCTTGTGATCTTGTTTTCAGTTTTTAATTTAGATTCGTTTTTGCAATGTGTATGTGTGTAAAAAGGATGTGTGTGGATTATGCTGTCGTGAATGAAAATATGTACACCCACACCCTGATCTTATGGCAATGTCTAACGTACACTATTCGCTGAATCAAATAGGACAATATTGGTCGTTGTTTCGGAATTAATCGATTACATTTTGCATCTGATTATATAACAGAACAACTTCAAATGCTGCCTTAGTCGCTAGTATAATTATTCTGCATTTATGGTAATAAGTTGATCGTCGACCATCTATTTTCTGAATAAAGTAAAATAAATAATGGTAATATAATTTTTAGTTGGGAATCTGAAGCTCGATCAAGGGGGAAACAGTGGATTTTAAGTAAAACGGTACTTTAAAGTACACTTCTTGAATTAGTGCAAAATAACTTCGATTTCAAAAGTCTACTGTTTCCCTCTTCAACTCGATACTCAGATTCATGCAATGCATATAGCACAGAGTTGATCACCATTTTTACTTTCATCATTTCGATTATGTAGGATTTTCTCTCCGACATCATTAGTCCTTAGTTGACCTCAGGGAAGATGACGGACAAGTATTATATTGTGTTTCCTAAGTTTTACATGGCGATTTTATGGAATCCATCGTCTGGATCAGCTCATTGAATTTTCATTCAGTCACCACTACTTTCAAAGCTAGTCGAAAATTCGAGCTTATATTCCGTATTTTTATGCTGAACACATTACACACTGATATATCTGGTCCACATAGCCTAATTTTTTTTGAAAAGTATATTCATCCGTTGGAAGAGGTCATTCTCAGTGTTCGGTAACCTGGAAGCAGAGAATTACGCCCTGTCCGTAAAAAAAACATCAAACAAGACACCTTATTTGATGTAAAGCTAGTAGGCATTCAATTGTTTTGCACTGTACATGATAAAAATGTTCTCTTCTCACATTGCACAGTGATTCATTCCGTATTTATTGGTTATCTCGAGAATTCACAATTTGTCTAAAAATCAATTTACCCAACGATAGCGAAAAACGAAGTACAACCAAGGGGGAAATAGCGGACTCCAATCCAGTGGAGTCCAGTGGAGTCCAATGGAGTCCAATGGAGCCCAGTGAAGTCGTTTGAAACTCTGTAGAGCACTTCAAGTATATTATAGATATATAATACACTTGTATATTGATTTTGCTTCTCATCACCTGTTATATAGAATTAAACAGATACTAGCTCCAATNCAACAGTATCAGTCGCAACGACATCAAATTTGATATTGCTTAATTCTTCGTCTACCTCCATACCAACGGCTGATCATGAAAGTCTTGAACAACCATCGCCATTATTAAAAAATAAACGTGGAGCAAAACGAAAGCTCCAATCAGCAGAATCATGCTATAATAAAAAAGAAGCAGTAAAAAGAACGAGAAGACAATAATTTTTATCTTAGGAACATTTTCCTGTTTATACTTCTCGTTTTACTTCTTTTATCGTATATCATACAGTGGTCTTTTTTATAAAGCTGAAACATTTTTAACTTTACAATTTTCTTATCATGTTTTTTTTAAATTTGTCATTCGCTAATTATACTCATATTTATATTTTTTCAGATTTTTACACTTTATCGGACGTTATTAACTATTTACAAAAGATTGTGATGGTAAAAAAAAGAAATTTTTAATCGACAGTTATTACATAATCTGTTCTTTATTTCCGATGGTTTAAGGTGAGAAGTAGCAGATTTTATCATAGTATGGATTGCTGAACTCCAGAGAAGACTGGAGTCCATTTGAAGTCCATTGGAGTCCAATGGAGTCCAATGGAGTCCTGGAGTCCTGGAGTCCGCTATTTCCCCCTTGAGTACAACAGTGCTAGTCGCTATTTTTCTCCTATGTAAAACCTTTTACATCGATATCTTACTGAATTGGTTGTCTTAAATCATATTAATTCAAATATTTTTCACAGTATTAATGATTAAAAGTTGATGTGTCTTTTAGTAATTGATAAAAATCACATTTCCAGGTATATAAATGTCTTGCTTTTTCAATAGATGCAGCGGTCGCTCTACGTGATCTATGGCATTTTATCATTCTATGTACGCTATTCATTTTTATCTACACCGTCTACGGCAATCTTTCAATTCACGGAAGAAGCTCGAGCTGCAATTTGTCCATTTGTTGGTACTGAAGGAATGAGATGCTTTGATGGTAGTTCTATAAAGCCTTCTGGCAGGATGCATGGTTCTGACTATGCTAAGCTACCACGCGGCGTTGGTATCTGTGTGGATCGAAGTACTGGTCGACTCATGGCTCTGGCTGTTCAATTAACATATCCACCTGAAGGTACTCGTGTGTGGACTGATGGCCATACCGGGGCTATGTTTGATATATTCAACGAAGCAATAATTGGACCAGCTAATAGAGTGGTAGCTGCTTACGATACAGCGCGTGTGCATATCTTTCGAAATGCCTCACAACTAAATACAGCATGGCGACAAACATTTGCTGATAACAGAGTTCGTGGCGGAGAATTGGCCCGTCCACCTGACTTGATGGAATATTTCGACAGGTAAGTGTTTTTTCTACTGCAATCAACTCAGTATGCTTATTTTATTGAAATCTTCTTTATAAATTTGACTATGAAACGATGGGTACTAATTTTGCTTATTAGTAATTAATATAATTTATTCCACTATTGTCCAGCAAACAAAAATTTCATCTATGGTCCCAGGCTTACTACAGATGATACGCACCATTTTTAAATTAAACTAAGAACCGCAGCTGAACTCAAGAGGGATTAGAGTATCTGAATCCGTGAGCAAACGACTTTTGTTTCAACAATGTAGGGCTTAAGCATCCTGACCATTTCGTATACTACGTTTCATCCCATCACACTCAAGTAAAAACATTTGGCCCAATGATTTATTCCCTAATACAAACTTTCGGATCAAATTGCTAATTTTTTAGTTTAAAGACGCTTAGGACGAAGTAGAGAACATATCGATCTTGTCAAACTAGAAAAGCTATATGAAAAATCAATGGGACTCAGGAAAATGAAATTACATGAATACTACAATTCCGTAACGTTCGGCATTTTTATTTTATAACTAGAAATACATGAGTATGATTGTTTTTATCAAGTAGATCACGATGAAATACATTTATTCGGAAGCTGTTTCGAAAAACGTAAGCATTGAAAACATGCCTAGGAAATTAACTTACCATTAGATAAACAACAACGAGTTTGATCAAGACTTGTAGTTAGCCTTTGCTTTATTTTATATATCACGTACGCTCAGCAGCATAGTATTTTCTCAAATGGATACACATTAACAATATGTTATAATCTCCATGATGAACTACTTTTAATCCTATATAGTTAGGTCACATCAAAGTATCGATACTGTTCTCAAATTAATTTAGGGAAAGCTCGACGAAAATTCTATCACTCATGTAATTATGTATATTGTTATATGATAAAGTTTTAGCAACACTAACAACATTTTTATACACACATGAACAGGTTTTTAATTGGACATAACATTTTCACTTCGATATTCAAATGTACATCACCTTCATACTTAACCTGAAAATCTGTATCATGATGTGATTTCTGCTTTCGACTTTAATTCTTTACGTTTCAGTACGTTCAAGAAATGGTTGGCATCATCTCTTGAAGATGTCGAAAAACTCAAAGATACACTAGTACGCAACAAGCTTGTAACCAAAGCCTTTGTTTTAGTTAAGACATTCTGCACCTGACATTTGATGTAATGTAAATGTTAACTGGTTCAAGTCGTTTCATCATTGAGAATCAATTTTAATGATCCTACCCCAAAAAAATGAATTGATTGTACGCATATTACCATCCTTTTCCTAAATAAGTTCAATACTCATTATTAATCGTTCTTCATACAAGAGATCCCAATAAAACTGTATGAATAAAATCAGCGAAATAATTTGGAACCAAACTTATGAATCTCAAAATGAAGCACATAAGATCAACAAGGCGGTAATCTTATTATGTTCCCTTCATGGAATCCTAATTTCGCCTTTCATATATTTTTACAAAATCAGTATATCTTAATTCGAGATAAATTAGATTGTATATGGCACAAGAACAAAATGTAGATGCAACATTTTTTGGTTTTCACTATCAATTGTTGCTTTTAAGCGAACAAAAAATATTTTTAAGAACATACTGCACTGCATATTTTATTTCTATTTAGCTATTTCGCCCATGGTCACGCACTGGCGCTTTCTCAACGTGTGATTGGTCTGTATACACTGACCATAAATGCTTCAACTATTCAACTTAATCCATTTGCGCGTCATGCACTTTCTCAGTTAACAACAACGTTCGATCCCGACCTCTATGAAGATTTTGTCGAGGCTTGGGGAACATATATCATTACTAGATCCCTTGTTGGTGGCATGATCGAAGAACGAGCTCAAGCACCACGATGTCTCAACGCCGGTGACGATGGTGTCGTCGCTCAGTGCATACCGTTCTCGGACCGGATTCCAGTAAGTTCCAGCTGCGCCTACTATGCTGACCGAACACGAATGATCTCGAAACGTCATCTTGGCGGCAATATTCAAGTCGAAAACGATAACGACTGGAGAAGAACATTGGCTGTTGGGCCAGCTCTCCTGCAGATTCTTGAGATGGTTCCTTAGTATGACTTTGTTACCGATAATTCAGTGAAACAAAATTTACGCACAATCATTCGGTATCGACAGAGAAACATCGACTTAGTTCAAACAGAAGCTGTTCGTCAAGTCAATGCTCGCTTATCTCCATGTATTTCAGGTAAATGTGTAAATGCCAGACAGTACGGGAGAGAGACTGCTTCTATTTTAGTGGTATTTTCATTATTCCTCGCTATCAACGAATAAATGACTATTTTCAGTCAGCTTTTACTAAAGAATTTCAGTTGTTCCATGTTCAGACCTTGTTCCCATCTCTGATTTGAGGAGTCAAAGCAATCATTTAGTTTTTGGATAATTCTTCAAGTAACTTAAGTCTTATTTTGAGCACATCCTTTGTTTAGGATACAAATGCATAGATGATTTGCTAATTTTCTTATATGCACCAATTTAGCATAGCCAATATAGGATAGGGCTGGCTATTCGAGCCACCGGCATTATGATAAAAAGTGAATGACTTCTGGCACTCCCTTCATTGCACATATCCTAGTATTGATGTAGTGTGAGTTTCTTTCTTCAACCAAACAGACAAACCTTAGCGTGGCCGAATTTAATATAAATAGTGATCCTTTGTAGAATCTTCAATATTTGCTAGATACTAATAAACTTGCCGTCGCTTTGCTAACTCGAATCTTGCTACAACAGTTTCTTCGGAGTTTCCAAGAATGAAAAATTATCTCCCATGGAGATTGTCCAGCTTTTTACACAAACTAGGGTTCAAACAAGTTGAGTGCTATGACATATTCGACACTGATTGTAAAGGACACTGTACATTACACGTTGGACTATTCTGATAATGTGAGACCTCCTAAATCCGAGACTGACTGAAAAACCTCTTTTGCGTAGAAGTAGAGTAGACCAGTAGGCGTTAAAACGTGCAAAGAAATCGATATTAAATTTTTCACTATATTTCTGCTACTGTCAATTAACTTTTCACTAGAGGCATAGATTTGTTTATTAAATCAAAAATTCGGGTACCCAAGAGCCTCGATTAAACTTTCGCGCAGTAATTCGAACTATATTGATTGCATTCTCTCCGATACAGGGACATTTCCAAATAATGATACTTGTCCCAAAAAATATGAAACAGCTCCAATGTTCTGAGAAAGCGTATGTCTTGGATAGACTTCCGCTAAAAATTCTCATTTTTCACAAGCAATCTCATTGAAGCATCACGCTCGATAAAGTTCAAGTCAAAACTGGAAAGTATTATTTTTATTGGTACCGGTGGTTCTGTAGGGACACTCACTAGATATGTGATGTGTCATCAATTCAAACTTAGTATATTAAGCCATTCTGAATTGACTAACAATTGTCAGGGTGCTGATATGAATGAAGGTGTACTGTGTAAGTTAGAATGGATCTTTGCTTTATTATCACACTTAGTCGAACCCATACTCATATCAAAATGCCCAATCGATAGTCACAGCCTTACTTTCACGTTTTCTCTGTAATAGGTATCCATATTTTTTAGGGAAAGTTTCGCGTCATATTCACGCTAAAATTTCCTAATTTAATGTATAAATAAATATTTTATTCTGTATCAATGAATCATCTCGTAGATTCGACGTGTACGCCGTTTTGGACAATGCCATGGTTAAACCAATGTACCCATTTCACGTATTCAAATGCCAATACACGAATCTTTGGTGATAGCAGCCGTAGTATTTGTGCATTAGTTCGAGCCGGCCCTGTCAATGCTGATAACATTGTTGTATCAATCGATTCATCATCACCCGGAGACTGCAATAGACACTTTGCAATAGCCATTGCAGATGGTAGACATGTGCACTTGTATGGAATGTGTGGGAAGTATGATAATCCTAACATTCCTATTAATCTGATTACACTGTATGATGGAGCTTTCCAACAAATATGTGTTACTTACAATAATCAAAATGCTAGGATATGTGTTCATGTTGATTTACAATCACCACATTGTTTTATTCGAGAAAACGCCCGTTACAACACAGATACAGGAGATGTTCGAATTGGTTGGTGGTCAGACCGCAACCGTCAATTTTCTGCTACAGGCGGTGGAATGATTAAATCGGTGTCATTATATGACAGGTCGATTTCACAACAGTGTATCAGACATCAGTTTGAGATTAATATGTAAAAGAAACTAGTTCATTCATTTTTTTAGATGCTAATAAATATGACTTTCTTTTCTTGCTTAAGTATAAACATTTTATCCTTGATGTACATGAGGTAAGGGGTGATCGAAAAGTATGCGTGTGATCCATGCAACAGTAAAAGGGAAAAATCAACTTATAAGTACTTTCATTATTGATGAAGTAAAATAAAGTAAATTTTCTTACTTTTCTAATATTAGTGATTTCTCAAAGGTGCTATTAACTACTTTTCAATGTTTAAAACTGCTTTCGGTCAGTTCTTGGAACCGAAGATCCACGACAGACTGCTCAAAAAAGTACAAAAATGAATATATCATATATCATAATTGAGGAAAGTATCAAAGTAATCGTGCATAGCTACTATTTAAAAGCTTAAAAATATAAATAGTTTCTTTGAAAACTATAAAACCAGCTCATTATGCTTTGAGATTCTACAAAATACTTCAAATGACTTCGATAAGCATCAAAAATATTTATTATTACTTAGCAAGAATTTGAATCATTATGCAAGTACTTTAAGAAATATCAAAATCGATATGCTTACTTTACGTTCAAGAAAAGTACTAATAAGTAAGTTACTTCAAAAAGTATCAGAAGTAACTCTGACTACTTCTCGGCAAAGTGGAAGTACAATAAAGTACTCGATAAGGTAAAAAATTAATATTTTTCACTTTTACTGTTACATGGATAGCAGCTAAACGGTATATATTGCTGCACACATCATATCATTACGTGTCCCAATAATTTGCTCAAATTTCGTCACACTTGATTCAGAATATATTGTTATGGATATATCAGTGCTATTAAATAACTACCCATCAAGTTTTCTTGACAAACATCTATATCGCTCCTTCTAGTTGAATTATCTGCTCTATGTATTGCAAGAATTGAACGAGAATACTGATCATCATTTACATGACACATAAATACATTCTTCACTAAAATCTCACTTCAATCGCCCAGAGTGCTGTAGACAAACAAGTGCGACAAGAATATTATTTATCATGCTATCAGTTCAATAAACCACGCTGCAAAGATATAAAACAAGAATTTTACAAGTGATGAACAATTTATTATGCACATGAAGGCTCTTCGTTACATGACATCAAAGTTCGCCAGTTGCTAATACCAACACAATTCTCGAAACATTCTTGATACACATTCCTCCTTATATATTCGAGAGCAATAAAAATAATCGAGTTTTTTTAAATTTACATAAGTACATTTATTTGAATATTGTATTTGTTTTCTGGCGATGATTTTACTGCAGATATATGAGGGATAATGAAAGAAAAAGTGTTGGTTACAGTTTCTATTATCTATACACCTGCTAACTGTCATCTTCAAATTATAAGAGATTTTTTTCTCCAATGTAGCGTCATCATGAATTGCTCGAGGCATCGTTGAATAAGCATCCTACCCACATCCGATCTAACTATCGTGTGGTTGGCTTTTGAAAAGCGAATTTATACGAGTGGGAAAAAATGTTGATTAATTTACCTCGATGTCATACACACATACAGAGAGGAAATGTGAAATTACGCGATCACAACAACAGCCATTGCCTTTTGTACGCCATGTGACTGTTGAGCAATACTTCGGTATCAAAACAGAACAAAAGAATGAATCATAATGTCGTATTTTGTTTGGTGGATGAGTCAGATTTTTTTTTCTTTTCTTACAAGTGTTGCGTCAATTTTTTTCCAAGCAGTTTGGGAAAAATATGATTATAAAATGCTGCTAAAGGGGAATGTTGTCTGCACTTCTGATACTTATTCGCATGGGTCCTCATTATGCACATACGTTCTTCTACAAATATCTGACTGAATTAAATAATCACGCAACGCGAGTTAATCTAAAAGATCAATCGATCATCATCGATGCTAATTCATTCATGTATTTTATCTATAATGAAATTTTAAACGATGATAAGCATAAAAATAGAAATCAAATCTTGACTACTATTCCATTTAATTACGATGGCTACTGGGATTATTCAAAACAAGTGTTAAATAAATTCAAGCAAGATTGCTCTGATGTTCTTGTTGTCTTTGATGGAGTTTTCAAACGCAACGCCAACCGAAGACCTGATCCAGAACGTGCAAGTAGTTTACATGTCACCGAGTTCAACGGTTATCAAAGCCAACTTCCGCTACTCTTTCGACGCGGATTCATCGATATTTTGCGAGAGTTAGATATAGGGGTTAATGTGGCTAGAGGAGAAGCTGATCCAATGATAGTTCGATTGGCTCAAGATCGAAATGCTTATGTTGTCGCCGCCGATTCAGACTACCATCTCTACGATCTTCCACAAGGCTATGTTCCATTGTATTTTCTCAAGTTGAAAGCACTCAAAGGATCACTCTATCAATTGGATGATGTTTTCACAGGAATGGATGCAAAAGGTGTTGCTCTATGGGCTTCACTCATTAAGTACAACTTCGTAAAATTGGCCAAACTACAAGTAAAATTCTACATTTCCATTGCAATAAATAGTTATAAAATTATTTTATTATAGAATTTTCTTTCAAGAACATTAGCATATGACCGAGAAAAATTTGAATCATGGCTCAATAGTACAGAACCAGATGAACAGAAACGTAATTTGATAACAACTGAATGGTTACTTCTTCGTTTCATACAACAAGTTGGTAGTTCAATAGCGTATACAGAATTGATTGAACTCATCGCTTTAGATGATCGACAAAAATTCGATCAAATTAGATCTAACTATATCAATGTAATACCCGAGGCATCAATTAAAACAAAAAATGGAAAAGCCCTCCCTGCCTACCTCGATAGACTTTTTACAACTGGAAACCTTGATCATACAATCCTTAACATTCTCATCAGTAGAAATGTTCTCAAAAGTGAACAAGTGAACAATGCGGTGTATTTTCAAATACTTCGGCCTATTATCCAGATTCTTCTGTTGTCGGATTGCTCGAGCACGGAACTGGGCAACGATAGTCAAAAAGTTACATTCAATAACCAATTATACGAACCTCTGGCAGAGATTAAGATACAAGACTTTCCTAGTTTAGACGAAATTTCCAAAATGTCTTCAGCTGATAGAAAGAAATGGCTTGTATATTGTGTGCAAAATGCTCTTCAACCATCGATAAATATGAATGATGATGAAATCCATGATGATCATTTGGCATGGATGTGTCTGTTAAAATTATGGTGGCACAAAGGGAAGGAACAAACAGTATTAAAGAAATCTGCACTTTATGCCATGATTGTTTCATATCTCACACACACACTACTTCATGAACATCACGAATCAGGTAAAAATATCCTCCATGAAATGTCCATTTCTTATTCAACTCTAAGTCTCAACAAATACTTGATGATAATTTTCGAACATATCTTCACATAAGTGTATCGATTCTATTTTTTTATATTTCAGAACGATCTCAACGGCACAAAAAAATAACTACGATTTCAGAACCATTTCTTCGATATTCCAAAAGAAAATTGAAGAAACGCTTCCCATTCGATATGTGCTCGGTGTTGAGCCAAAAAATAAGTAAACATGGATCGAATCATTTCGAAAATGAAAATATCAAGGGTGACTTACATGAAGCTGAAGAATTCTATAATGTCTTTTACGTTGGATATCAATTGTTTGACTCTCCTATCATCATGCCAAAAGTACACGAATACATAAGTACACTGACTTATGAATTAGCTATTGCCTTCACAAAATCGAATACGCTCACCAGAAATATTCGGAAACGCTTGTTCAATGACAATCTTCTACTGATGGGTTTGTTTGAAGAAATCAAATCATGGGTCGAACAAGTTTATCAACCAAATCTTAATGCAAACGAATCCGACTGTAAATAGAAAGTTTTACAGTTTATCATGTCTTTTTATTTTAAAATAAACCTGACACGATGAGTGATGCTTCGAAAAACAAAACACTTGTGTTTTGTTTATGGTGTGTGTGTGTGTGTTGGTATCGAGGAGCAAAAAAACTCCAGTCTCATTACATTTGCTCTTGAATTATTGAGCAGTTGAACGCATGAATTATTTACTTATAAAATAACTTGAAGGAGTGAGTCATTTCAGAGTGCGATGATCTCTTGACAACATATCGGAGTAGAAAGAGGCAGGTGTCAAATAAATCTCATCGGTTCATGTTGATAGAAAATCTGTTTTTGTACTAAAAGGACAAATCTTTCATTATCAAAATTTTTCAAAAATAACAAGCAAGATTTCATTAGAAACATCAGGAAGGCGAACATCAGATCAATACACGTTCGATTATGGCGTATATTTCTGAGAGCGCATATATTTCCATGCATCTGTGTTCATTGTTCTCTTATTATGAATATGTTCCTTTCAACAAAGTAAAATAAACTTCACACAAAAAAGTTCGTTTCAAGATTTTAATTGTATTCAAAAAGAAAACTGATAGCATTAGAAAGCGATTAATTGTGCTTCGTGATGTGTTTCAAATTTATACGAGGGAGTTTTGTTTTTTTATTATCAGTTAATATTCGATCTTTTTCATTCATTCGATTTGTATTGGAGCTTCATTTTCTATTCTATTATTTTTTTAATGTTGCTGCACACTTTTAGAATAGATGTTGAACTTGTTACAATTGGAATACTAATTTATATTCTAAACTCATTTCCACATCCTTTCATCGATTTCTTACTTCATCATAAATACCTATAAAATTTGGTTGATAACTTGAGGATGTGGGTAAAAGATGCTAGTCTCAGGGTGTGACTCTTTTCTTGTGCTACACACCCACAAGCAGGGGTGCAGAATCTGCCGAAAAAATACAAAATTTCCCCACACGGAAATTTTCTTTTTGGGAAATTTCCCCCGCTATAAAATTGAATAATAAAGCAAGGAATTCTCGTTTAAGATGTAGGTATATCCTTAAAAAGATTGTCAATAGTCTATGACTTGTTCTTTCATAATTCTTGCCATTGATGTTCTAAGTTTCTCAAAAACTTACCGACTGTTTAAATATAACAGAAGCAACTTATATACTTCATGTAAAGATTACAGAAAAAAATTGAATTTATCTATATGTACCAACAGGTGCTTCATATAATTCTTGTAGATTTAGTGTATCAACAAATCTAACGCCACCTAAACTGCTTCGAATAAAAAACAAAGCAACTCTGTAAACAGTCAATCTAGCTTTTTCATTCTTTTTATGAAAATCTTCAATGTTTGTTGTCTTTCATTTTGTTCTTGTGCACATCATGTATACAGTATGTGATTTGTTTTAAAAGTGTAATCCCACATTAGCTTTTAAACTTTGAAATCGGGGTGATAGAAGTTCATTTACTTTCTGTTTAATATGTTGAAAAATGTCACATGAAATTTTATGACATCTAATAAATGTTTTGGTGGTTGTCTTTTCCAGATAGAACAAGGTATAATCGTGATTGTCTCTAAATTATTATTGATTTTTAAACCCCTCAGTATCAAGAAATCATCTCAATATTTGATAGAATCCAGTCATTATCACATCACCCACTTGTGTATATGATGATTCTCTGTTGTTTTTTTTCTACGTTAATATTGAAGGTGAAGTGGCAGTGCTGATTTATGGGTTTTGCTAAGCCAGGAGATTATAGAATGACATTTTCTTGCTGTTATTTTTCAAATTTATTAGCATCCTCATAATCACCACTGGTAATTGTTCTGCTACTTTCAGTTGTTTCTTTATCACAATGATATCTGGTTAAGTTATTTTTAGGAATCGTTAATTTAAATATTTCCTTATGGTGTTTTTTTTCTAATGTACGTTTACGTTATCTTTTCGTCCCACTCATCCACAATAAAAACATGATACCTGCTATTTACTAGAATACATTTCCATTATTCAGACATGCTAAATATTCTAAAAACTAAGAGGAAGCGAAACAAAAATGAGTGAAAAGAAAAGATTTGCGAGTGACAAGGATCATAGTATGCGTCATCTGTTCTATGATTGTAGATTAGTCATCATAGCGCTTGTATATGTATAGGAGTACACAATTACAACGATATGTATCTATAGAGAAAAGACAACAACTAGTGGCATTCGGTTAGGGAAAAACAAAACGAAAAGAGGAGAAAACAAATAGCCGTTTTTGCATCATAGTTACGCCCAAGAAAGAGCGAAAGATAAACAGTAGTGCGACGCATCATCAGTGTCAAACAAAGAAGAATATACTGAAACCGTGAGTAAGAAATGGATGATTCTTTCAAAATTTACATAAAATAAAAGAAAAAAGATGCATGATATGATCGATGCACATATAAATAAAACAAGATTCGTTTAGAAAATACTTGCCCCTGCACGCTTAGAAGAGAAAATATCTTTCTAAAAATTTCCCCTGATGCTTAGGTTTGCAAAATTTTCCCCACACGGCCGTACGCGCGCACGGGTAGATTCTGCACCTCTGCGGTTCATGTTCATGTTTAATCCATTTAGATTTAGTTCAATACTCCTGTTTATATATACATTAATATTTTCTCATTGTTGTCTGAATGTACAAAGAAGAATAAATATTCATATCAAAACAATGGACTCATTGATAGATGACGCCATTTTTCGTTCTGATTGATCATTCTTTTTTGTTCATTGACAAATCGTTCATAGAATCATTCTTCTTTTGTTTTGTCACAATCACAATCACAATGTGTTTCATTATATTAAATACTTTTTCAATACATAATGTGCTACTGAGAAGAATATCACTTAATTCAATCTTAACAGATGATTGTAGATTTAAAACAACTTTTTAAAATGTGTTGTTTATTATTAAGTTGAAATGAAAACAATAAAAAAATACCATGTGAATAAATTGGATTGCAAAGGGTGTTTAGTTGCTATGTCACAAATCAGTTAGTAAAATAAATAAAGTAATAATCAAACAAAATATGCATTGTCATATGAGGGCTGACAAAGATCCAGAAAAAGCCCACTTTACTTAAAGTCCTGTGAAAAGTCCTTCACCCTCAACTTAAAGTCCCGCCATAGGACCTTACTGGCGGCGGCACCTGCCCACGAGACTTTGGGTAGGAAAAGTGACATTTTCTCGAAACTTTGCCACCGCTGTATAGAAGACACAAGTTTTATTTCAGAAAATATATTAAAGAGTAATATATTGCATATTTTGCAGAATGCAAAAGTTGAAAACGAAAGAAAATTGTCAAATAGAACATATTTCCTGTGATTAACAGAGAACCAAATGTATTGATCAACACATTTTGTTCGAAGGCCCATAGAATTTATAAAACACATGAAATAGTTTTGCATTCTTTTTGTAGAGGATCAGGAAACAAGTAGACATAGCTGCGCCGATACAAATACAAGTTGTATCGCTCATCTACATCGTATCTAT